CTGGACCTGTGGTTACTGAGTTTAGGGGTCCAGAAGTCTTACAGAAACTGGACCTGTGGTTATTGGGTTTAGGGGTCCAGAAGTCTTACAGAAACTGGACCTGTGGTTATTGGGCTTAGGGGTCCAGAAGTCTTACAGAAACTGGACCTGTGGTTACTGAGTTTAGGGGTCCAGAAGTCTTACAGAAACTGGGCCTGTGGTTATTGGGCTTAGGGGTCCAGAAGTCTTATAGAAACTGGACCTGTGGTTATTGGGCTTAGGGGTCCAGAAGTCTTTTAGAAACTGGACCTGTGGTTATTGGGCTTAGAGGTCCAGAAGTCTTATAGAAACTGGACCTGTGGTTATTGGGCTTAGGGGTCCAGATGTCTTATAGAAACTGGACCTGGTATTGGGCTTAAAAGCCAGAGACTGTGAACTGACCTGGTTATTGGGCTTAGGTGTCCAGAAGCCTTGTAGAAACTGGACCTATGGTTATTGGGCTTAGGGGTCCAGAAGTCTTATAGAAACTGGACCTGTGGTTATTGGGCTTAGGGGTCCGGAAGTCTTATAGAAACTGGACCGGTTAACGCTTTGGGCTTGGCCAAAACACCCACATGTCAAATCTGATGTTTTGATATCTGCTTCTCCATCTTTGCTATAATAGAGTGAAAAATCCAGTTCAATCATTTCCTGAATCTGTAGAGTCGCCCTTTCCATTCCATCTTATCACGAGATCATACGAGACTCACATCCGGAGTTATGAGCCTATGAAGAGGGGCTGAGATACACGTCATCTGCCTCTCACCGTGTGGAACTGGTGGATTCGTGTGTCCGTCTACATTCTGTGTGAAACTGACCAATGGACACTCAGGAAATCACTAAGGACTGACCATCACGCCGGAAACCCTTCATTCTTCATTCAGTCCACATCGGAGACTTTTACAGCTGCTGAAGCTGCTGCAGCGGTTTTGGAAAGTAGTGATGAAGATAACGGAGCATTTAGATATGAAACATATGAGGATCATGTTATATGAAGAGCCTTTAGAGGAGAGTTTAAGAAGAAATTGAGAAAGTGCCCTCAGACCTGTTATTGGGCTTAGAGGTCCAGCAGTCAAACAGGAATTGAACCTCTGTTTCCTCTCCCAAGAACTGGACCGGTGGTTACAGGACTAACAGGTTATGCTTGTAGAAACCGGTCCAGTTTCAGTAAGGCTGCTGAACATTTGACAAGAAGAACTGACCCAAATGGAAACCAATGGAACTTGTTCTAGTTCTCCACACATTTGAAAGAAAGTCATAATAACTGAGTTAGTTACCTGGAAAAGAGAAGAATTTGCTAAATTCTTGTGGCTCCAGCTCCAAGTTTTACCAAAGGTAGAGCCTTTGAGTACTGTTAGGTCCTGTTGGTACCAATCATGAGTACCAAGTACCAAAAACAATTAAACTGAACCCATCAGTACTAGACCGATGGCAAATGGAAGAAGTACAGTTCCAGTTTTCTGGTGCCAAAGGTTCCGATGATACTGTGCAGTGGAAAAACATCTTAAGAGTGCTGGGGGTCCATCAGTCTCACAAGGACAGAACCTGTGGCTACTAGACACAGGGGTCCAGCAGTCTTACAGAAGACAGACTTGTGGTTCCTTCAACCGAAATCAGACCCGTGGGATGAAAGGTCCTGCCGTCTGTCCATTTGTTGCAACAGTCGGTAATTGAAGATCAGAATGGGCTCAGCGGTCAGTATTTACATAATTGACTCTTATTCAGTCAGTTCATGAATATGTTTCGAGTGATCCAGTGTGGCCTCAGGTTGTGGACGGCTGCCCAGATTGTCTCAGCCGATGCTGATTGATATTGACAAATCACCCTGCAGTGCCTGAACTGCTGGAGGCCTGAAAGACTGAAGAGTCGTAAGGCAAAGCCCAAGATAGCTGTTCATGGCTTCTTCTCTAAAAACATGAAGGTTAAATAAAGTTCTTGAAATTCATAAATAAAACAAAGCTGTTTACCAGCACAGTTCAGATGTTTTTAGGAGTGAGGGAAGAAAGTTAGTAATGAATCAATAATCTTTTAGTGATGTTCTCCGACATCTGGAAGGTTCAAACTCTGATAAGAATAAGAACGACCCACTATGGCCTACTTCTTGCAAAAAGGTGGTAGAAAACAAGAAAACAAGCCACGCTGCAGCGTCAATACCGGCACGTGCAGCTCTTATTAACTCTATTGATCCGTTTGCTTCTTCTGAACTAGCGCCTAATCTGGCGTCCCCTGAAACCTCCTCCACTCTCGGCTCGCCGAGCTGAACATGCAATCAGCTTGAGCTCCACTGATTGAGAACATTGAGACTGTCTATAATAGATCAAGTGGATCTTCATCTGCTTATAAACAAGGACATTTACTCACAGTTGCTGTCAGTCGCTGAAATTCTTTCAGAGAATACACATAATTTGTTTATTCATTCATTTGCTGTTATTCATTTTTCAGCGCCAGAAAAAAGCAGGAAAGATATATTTAACAGAAAATTACACAGAAGCTTCAACAACTAAACATACGTTCAACTCTTTAAACTCTTCCATCCGCCAAACAGCTGTGCTCCCAATAAAAGCTGTTCCCAAATGTGACACTGACATTAGGCTTCACACAAGCAGCTACCCAAACTCACCCTAACCGTCTCACACACAAGCATCTAAAACGGCTAAGGGTGATTAGATACAAGATCATGCACTTTAATCAGGAAAGAGAAAGTAAAAGGAAGAACAAGAGTTTCTGAAACTGGAGTGACTCCTAACAATGTGCCTCCTAACAACCACCTGGAAGAGCTGGTCGACACCAAAACTGCCCCCATCAGATAAACAGCACTGAAAGCTTTCATCTCTGAGAGAGAGGAGAAAATCAAGCTGCTTCAGATCTGAAAACATCCACAGGTGTTTCTGTCCATCCTTCCACTGTGAGAAGACGACTCAGCGCTGTGGGTCTGAAAGGATGTGTAGCTGATCAAGAAGAACCTCACTGAGAAAAGGAGACGGACACATCAAACAAAGAAGCTGAACGATGGACTGACCACCCCAGAGTCCAGACCTCAACACCACTGAATGTGTTGATGATCAAACTCACTTCTGATGGGAGTGCACATAAATTTGAGCACAATAGTTTAAAAACCTGCTTGATTTGCAATTAATCAAAACTATTATCAATATCATCTATAATATCAATAATAAGAATAGAAAATAAGACTAATAACTGTGCAAATGGTAATTCAGTACAAAAGTGTATGCACTTATTTTACATACACGTTGATATAAACAAGTGCTGCATTTAAATGTTCCATTTAACGACATTACACTGTGCTTTTATTTTATAATACTGAACTCCACCCACAAAATAAACAATACATAAATAGCTCGTGCAGAAACCTCTCATACACTGCAGTCATACAGTGTTTAAATATGTTATTTTAGGAAAATAATCACACTAAACAATTAAGGGTAACACTTCACTGTACGGCACTGTCCATGAGGCTACATAACACCTACATAAGCTTGTCATATCGACTGACAGAACCCTGCATAAATGTTTATATATACTTATTCCAGTAGGCATCATTCGTTATAAAGGTTACGTTAGCCAGTTTTGAGCGCAGCCATTGGCTCTCTGAATATTGTCGTGGCTCCCTTCTGAAACATCTGCATGAATTAGGGTGTCCTTCATGTAAATGATATGTAAATGAAGTGCTGGTAGGCTGGCGCTTGATTTCACGCACCGAAGCGGATTCACCATTTGCGCCGAAATCTCTGCGCGTTTGATAGAACATTGAAACAAGCAGAGATTTTGGCGCAACTAATGAATCCGCTTTGGTGCGTGAAAACAAGCGCAAGCCTTCCAGCGCCTAATTTACGTCATTTATCGTTTACAGAGCAGTTCATACATCATTAAAAGCAATTCCATGCTTTCTTACGCAACTTTAATGAATAAAGGCCACTGTGTGTGTTGGATACATTTATTCTTTGTCTCTTATTTTGTGACTGTTGGACCTTCTGCCACCCTGGAACAGCTGAACTCGTTCCCGGGGACCAATTAAGTTTACTGTATTCTGAGTGGGCGGAGTTCATGTTCCAGTGGTACAATTAGCAGCTGATTTACTGCTTTTCATTCTGCGCTGGACTCAGACTCAAACATGAGCGACAGAAACGATGCCGGGCTTTACTGCGACGGTGGAAAAGGCTCTGAAGTGACCTTACTTACACTTAATGCTGGAGCTTTTATCTCCACATCCTTTCAGGAGGCAAAAGGGTTCACTGTGGTCCACTTACAGAGCACTTAGAGCCCAGACAGCAGCGCCAGCAGCTTCTGATGGAACCCAATAACGCATACGACGAGCAATTTCCTCTAAAAGATCCAGTTCATGATACAAAACACTGCCCGCCGCCGAAATTGCACGCTTGACGGCGGCCGAGCTGGTTAGAGATGGTGATCGCTTTTGATCATGTCTTGCTGACTGAGACAGAGCCTTTCAAAGGAGAAATCCCACCAACTTTTCAAAAAATTCTGCGTAATTCCATCTGTGAGTGGTTTGGTGTGAAATGGTTCAGATTTCTTTACAGTGGTGGTGATAGGAACCAGGGGTCGCCATGACTACAACACAAATATAGACATTTTTATAGTCAATTCTTAACAGAGCATTTCACTCCAAACCACTCTGAACTACTGTTTACTGTACTACTTGTGCTTCCACTAACTGGCCACTTTATTAGAAACACCCACCTTGTGCTTCCACTCACTGGCCACTTTATTAGAAACACCCACATTGTACTTCCGCTCACTGGCCACTTTATTAGAAACACCTACCTTGTACTTCCACTCACTGGCCACTTTATTAGAAACACCTACTTTGTACTTCTACTCACTGGCCCTGATAATGTACTTAATATCTGCATATGTGCCGTACGATTACACTGAATATTACTTTAGAAATTATATTAGCAGTTTCCTTAATAACTAGTCCAGAATTACACATCACGACAGAGTAGTGATATAACAAAAAAGACCATTTTATTTTTTTTATAAACCTGCATCTTCAGTTTGTACAGTTGATCATAAAGTCTATTGCTAAACAATTACTATACAAGCTACATTACATCTGATATAAATTATGTCATTATTTCATGATGAGTAATAAAAATACATTATTATGCCTTCAATCACACGGGAAGCTCTGCTCTCTTTGGTTAGCTCCGAGCACAGAGCCAGAGGATGCTGTTCACCCAGCATGCCCGGCGACATGTGGCAGTGCGTGCACAGGAACGGTCTCCGTGATGATTTCCATGGTGACGCAGGCATCCTCAGTAGCTGACTGGCCAGTGTTTTAGGGAGAGCTCCTATTAGCTGAGCGTGAGGTTCTGAGGTCTGCTGGGGTTATGATGTCCACAGCGAGTGGACCATGGAGAAGGTGAAGGCCATCAGGATGGACACCAGCACCAGGAGAACCTTCTGCAGCCACAAGCATGCGTCCAGCTTCTGCTCCAAGCGGTAGTTACTGGCCATGAGGCGCATCAGCTGTGACAGAGCAAAACGAGAAGTGAAGGGAGGAGCTTCTGAGAGATGCAGCTGGAAAAGGCAGAACTGTCCTATTAACTCTTAAAAAAGAAGGTTCTTTAGAGAGTAAAGAACACTCAAAGAACCTTTTGCATGATTGAAGGGATCTTTGCATCATGAAGGGGACCTTTCAGTCCGTAGGCGGAGACTTATTTTAGCCACGCCCCTGCATGGCCCCATGGTGAGATCCCACTGTTTTGAAGTATGTGTCAGAAATTCAGTGTGTTTTATTATGAACTGTCACTTTCTGCAGTTAAGTACTTTGTGTTTTAATAAAAATATGATGATTTTATGCGTGTACAGCTGCTCAAAGCTGTGTTAGCTAGTCATGTACTGGCTTTTTTAGCCCCCCAAGTTTAATTCAGAACTGTGAGATAAAATAACAAATAACATCACGGCTGTGATTTGGTCGCCGTAGATCATCACAGCCGTGATGTTATTGGCGATAACACACTCCTCGAGTGTTCTATTGCTTTTATACAACAGTTAAATAAATAAAGTAATAAATTAATAAACTGGGCCGTGAACGCGGCGTTTAATATGTTTTAATGTTCGCAGTTCCTTCACCAAATTATAGTTCCTTAACAAGCAGCTCCGCCCACTCACTGCACAGCCGGCAGTTCGTTCTCCAGCTCCTTACACTAAATTCCCAAACTGTCATCACCACTGAGCAGCTTTTTTGTTGCGGCAGTTTTATAGCTCAGTCTGATTTGGTCAGACTCTGAAGATCAGACTACACATTTGGCGAATGGTGTTGGGTTCATTTCTGGCTGATTCCAGGTTGTGTAGCTGTTCTTCTGTCACAGCTGCCGACTGAAAAGCTGCTCAGTGGTGATGACAGTTTGGGAATTTAGTGTCGTCTCATCTTCAGAGTCTGACCAAATCGGCTGTCGGTCAAATGTGATCTTAAAAGTGTCCGTTTTCTGTTTGTGGCAAAGTAAGCTTGAGCGTCTCCTACAGCTGTCAAAGTCGTTGCTTAGCAACGGCGTCTCAGCGGAGTGATACAGTAAAAAATCGTGACGTTATGGCGAAATAACAGTTTCTCAACCAAACAGCTTGCGTGGCCGGAACTAACTGTTAACTGTCGCTCTAACGGCTCTAAGTTATTTTAAACAGTAGTGTTTTTTAACCTAATGCTCCCAATCTAGCTTTTGCTAACAGCACCGATATTAACTGGAAGCTGTCAACCTTCTGAAATGAATGATGATAATAAAAGAAAAAAGACCATAGTATGGGGGGAAAAAACATTAACGAACATTCTGACCACCTCCTTGTTTCTACACTCATTGTCCATTTTATCAGCTCCATTTACTATATCTGGTAAGTAGAGATGATAAAATGGACAAAGGTCTAGAACACGTGTCAGCCTCCAGTCCTTGTGGTCCAAAACACTCTCATTAAACACACCTGATACACAAACTAAAGGAAATCATTTTGGCCAAAATTAAGACCGATATTAAACTGTCACATTACTGATTTACCAGTGCGTTTCTGATGTACTGCAAGGCAGTAGTCCGTGCACGTCTGGAGGCCTACATCAGTTACAGTTCTTACAGCACGTCCTTCAAATTACACATGACGAGTTTAAAGGAGACAGATAAAGCCTGCAACACTACAGCAGGTTACGTAACGGGGCTCTGGACGCTCCTGCGGTCAAAAGCGTCAGTCCACTTACTGCTGTTTGTAGGTCCTGGGTGTCACCGGTAGGCGTGCTGGGCAGACTGTCGGTCTGATTGCTCAAAATAGACTTGGGACTCTCGAGAACATGACACCGGAGCCTGCAGCAGAGAAGCGTTTCAGCAGAACGTCAAACAAAACCACAGGACAGTCCATCAGGAAACTCCACTGAATCACAGATAAAGAAGCATTGAATCAAATTTACACTATTTTCCCCCTTACCAGCCCCCTGCCCCCCTGCAGTAACAGTCTCTGCTCTTCTAGGAAGGCTTTACACTAGATGTTGGAACATTGCTGTGAGGATTTGATTGAGCATTTGTGAGGTCAGGTACTGATGTTGGATGGTCAGTTCAGGATCACTCCAACTCATCCCAAAGGTATTGGATGGAGCTCCCATCACTCCAGAGAACACAGTTCCACTGCTCCACAGCCCAATGCTGGGGGGCTTTATACCTTTCTAGCCCATGCCTGGCATTAACATGGTGACCTCATGCTGCTCCAGAGCATCTCATTCTATTGGTCAGTGCTTTTCTATAGAGTGTAAACAAGCTTTGTGGACTGTCTTAATACTATTGGACACTATTGGAAGCTTCCACCTTCACTTCTCATTTTGTTCTAGGTAGCACCAAAAAGTGTTGTTCTACTGTATGAGAGTAGGATAACGATAGAACCCTTTTTGGTGCTATATTTCTTTGTGAAACTATAGTTTAAAATGTTTCTGTACTGGATGCACACTGAGCTTCCAGGTGTGGTTCGGCGTGTGGAGAACCTCACCTGTGCTCCATGACCTTTGCTTTTGGGACTTCCTTCCAGAACTGAGCGAGTTCAGGGGACCCGGCGCCAGCGCCCGGCTCCATCTCCGCAGCCATGATCAGGAACCGGTCCTGAGGGGACGCCTGGAAACCTGCAGAGGAGACACGTATATATATTCATATATTTATTCAGTATTTGTTCGAGAATTTTTGTACACATTTTATTTTTGTAGAAATTGAAACTGTTGATTTTGAACAGTGTATTTTATCCTGATCCTCCCAATCTAGCTTTTGCTAACAGGACCGATATTAACTAGAAGCTGTTAATCTCGCGAAAGGAATTAAAAAAAGAAAGAAAAAAAAGACAACAGGCTGGGAAAAAAGCTTTGGAATAAAAAACAGGAGTGATGTGAATAAGCCCAACGTTTCAGAAGGCAGAGGTTCTCAGAGGTTCTATCAGGGCCGGCTGCAGTGGACGGGTTAAAGGGAAACCTCTGACATCTCGATTCCCTCGTGAGAGGAGCAGGTTATTTACTTTACACGCCGGACGAGCAGATGATTATTTTATCACTCTTAAAATATTGATGAAAAGAGAAAAAAATGGTTGCTGTACTGAGAGCAAAGCAGAGTGAGAGATGAAGAGAGAGAAAGAGAGAAAAAGAGGGGAGAGAGCTAGAGAGAGGGGGAAAAGGGAGAGTGAGAAAGAGCGAGGGAGCAGGGGAGAGGGAGGAAGGGATGGAAGGAGAGAGGAGAGAGGGAGGGAGCGAAGGAGACAGGAGAGAGGGAGGGAGAGGGAGAGAAGAAGAGAAGGAGGGAGGAGGGAGGGAGATGGGAGCGAGGGAGAGGGAGAGGGAGAGGGAGAGGGAGAGGGAGAGGGGAGGGAGAGGGAGAGGGAGAGGGGAGAGGGGAGAGAGAGAGGGGTGGGAGAGTGAGAGGGGAGGGAGAGGGAGAGGGAGAGCGAGAGGGGAGGGAGAGCGAGAGTGAGAGGGGAAGGAAAGTGAGAGTGAGAGTGAGAGGGGAGGGAGAGGGAGAGGGAGAGGGGAGAGAGAGAGGGGTGGGAGAGTGAGAGGGGAGGGAGAGGGAGAGGGAGAGGGGAGGGAGAGGGGAGGGAGAGGGGAGAGGGAGAGGGAGAGGGGAGAGGGAGAGGGGAGGGAAAGGGAGAGGGAGAGGGGAGGGAGAGGGAGAGGGGAGGGAGAGGGAGAGGGGAGGGAGAGGGGAGGGAGAGGGAGAGGGGAGGGAGAGGGGAGAGGGGAGGGAGAGGGGAGGGAGAGGGGAGAGGGAGAGGGGTGGGAGAGTGAGAGGGAGAGGGAGAGTGAGAGTGAGAGGGGAGGGAGAGTGAGAGGGGAGGGAGAGCGAGAGTGAGAGGGGAAGGAAAGTGAGAGTGAGAGTGAGAGTGAGAGGGGAGGGAGAGGGAGAGGGAGAGGCGAGGGAGAGGGGAGAGGGAGAGGCAAAGGGAGGGAGAGGGGAGAGGGGAGGGAGAGGGGAGAGGGAGAGGGGAGGGAGAGTGAGAGGGGAGGGAGAGGGAGAGGGGAGGGAGAGGGAGAGGCGAGGGAGAGGCGAGGGAGAGGGGAGAGGGAGAGGCAGAGGGAGGGAGAGGGGAGAGGGAGAGGCAGAGGGGAGGGAGGGAGGGGGGAGGGAGGGGGGAGAGGGAGATATAAGGATGTATAAAGTGGTGCGTCTGTAGTTTGTACCTCCGTGCAGTGAGACGATGATGTCCACACTCGCTCCCGCCTCACAGCTGCTACTGCTGGGCTTCACGCGGTATTTCTCCGGGGCCGTCGTCCGGACCTGGACACAGAACGGGTCAGCGTTAAGGGGGTTTACACCAGGGCCGATCCAAACGGCAGCCCTGACGTCACTACTGGACAGCACTCAGTGCTGTACTGGTATCAGAAAAGAAACTGCATTTGCATTGATGTATCAATCAGCAGTAATCTTAAATCTAATTGGATCATCTCCTGCTGGGGGCGGAGCCTCCACCACACGCTCACCTTGAACGCCACCTGATTTTTGGTCACATTGTTGAGGACGATGAGGCATTTCTTCTCTGTGTCTCTCGAGCCAAAACTGAGCTCCTCAGCTGGACTGAGAGAGAGAGAGGGAGACAGAGAGACACAGAGAGACACAGAGAGATGAATCATTTACATAAAGTGCAATAAGAACACAATGTACATTCAGACAAATACAACTAGCCTCACCTCTGAACCTGATAATCCAGAGGAATCTTAATGTCTCATAACTCTTCACAAACTCACTGAGCTGATCACCAAAAGCATGAATTTGCTCTTCTAATTCACATGCGATGTAAAGAGCTCGCAGATCGCCTTCTTTATATTGATTTGTCTCCATTTACTCAGCTAAAGCTCATCTGTTTGGAGGAGGCTGGTGTGACAAAGAAGGCAGCACAGCAAGCAGCAAAGTAATCTTCAAATATCAGCTCAACCAGCGTAACCAACACCATGTTTGACATATTTGAAAAATAAATACATTTATGTACTATTCATGTTTAAAGCAGGTGGCAATTTAAGAGTTTTTGGTAGCCCCGCTAGAAAAAACAGCATAGACCAGCATGGCTGGTTACCAGCAACACCAGCATGGCTGGTGTTTTTGATGCTGTTATGCTGGTCAACCAGCCTGACCATACTGGGTAACCAACTAAACCAGCATCACACCAGTACAAGATGTTTTTTTCTTTCTTCTCTCAATGAGAGTCTGAAGTTGTATGTAAACACTGCTAAAGTTTCATTACAGACAGTCGATATACGCTGCAAAACCAGCCTGTTTCGAACTGTTTCGGTGATGTCTATTCAGCGTACAGCAGTTTGGCCCCGCCCATTAACCATGTTGTCACAAGCGTGTTTCAGCCTGGACTGCTCTCTGGAAAAGGACCATACAAGGCAGCCAATCAGAACAGAACTAATTTACATATACATTTACATCAGTCTTAAAGGCACAGTAATAAAAACAATGTGCAGTTTTAAGGTACAAAGATGGTCTGGAAAAAATGAAAACAATAAAATACAATAAATAAATAAAATGGTTCCTGTTTAGATTGCTGCCTATGAAGGGAGTAGGGAGCAAGGCAGCTCACTAGACATTGAGACAAACATACAAAACAACATACATTTGCACATCGCTGTTGTCGGAACAAAACCTCGTATCTCCAAAATTTTCAAAACCGAAAAGGGAAAAACCTACTTTACTTTTAATGTAAATCAATGGAACCACTTTTTTTCCAAGTAATTTTGGGTTGTTTCTTTTGGCCCATTTTTCATGAAATTTACACACAGTGGGTGTGTCTCAAAACCTAGTGAGCTCTACATAGACAGCATTTTTCGTCACAATATGCGCTCCCGACAAGAAGGCTGTCCCAATTCTTAGATATCTCAAATATGCTGCCTACTGAGGTCTCATTTTGGCCGAATATCAAGAGAGCATCGGATGTTTCCTCAGCCGCTGAGGCAATTCCGCGATGCAGTGCGGCGCAACTTTTGTTTGAAGATGGTGGGCAGAAGTGCTTCACCAAGCAGCGACGTCATCTCCAAATGTAAGTTATTCTGATGTTCTGGGGTATTTATCTGTTTTCTAGTCATGAAGGTGCACAGATAGCCTATACTTTCCACGTTTGACCACAACTATTGTCTATTTTGCTGTTTCATTCAGAGCAAATACAGTTAAAATCGCTGTATAAGCTGCCAGAGCAGATCTTTTGGCTAACTGTGATTCTGACGGCTGAGGTCAGTAAACGCCGGTCTCGTGCAGTGGGCGGGAACAAGCGGAGACGTCACTGCTGTCTTACTAGAGCGTCTCATTTATCTTATAAGGATAGATGACGGTTGGAACGCTGCCTACTTAGACAGCTGCCTATGTAGACAGCGGCTACTTAGAGAGCTCACTAGGTTTTGAGACACCCATTGTAAAGAACCACAGGCATTTTTAAAGTTTATGTCAAAAACTGAAAAGCGTCGGTTTTCTTCCGACAGCTGCTGTATATTCATACATGTATATGAAATGGCCTGTTTGACAGCAGATGCAGATGCAGCAGGGTTTTGCTGCAATGAGATCTGTACCGGAATCCCATTCTTCCAAAAAGCAGCCGTAATGGAATTATTCCCAAGATTTTGGAGGGAAAAAAAAGCATCTGGCCATCACATCAAAGCTGACCCAGAACAGAGGCAAATCCGACAGCTAAGAGAATCGCTAAGAGGCCCTCCCTGAACCCTTCACACGCCAACGATGGTTTCTGAAAACTCCTAAAGCCCGCCGTGAGGATTAAAATTCCTGCCTGCTATTTGTAAGAACGCCTGGAATTCTTGTGGTCGTTCCAACTTCCTTCTTCTCTCATGCTTTCGTGTCATATTCATGGCGAGAAGCCTCTCTGTTGTTCCGCACAAGGCTAATTAGCAATCACGCAAACGAGCTTCTCACTTTAAATCACAGCCTACAGGTAGAGCATGACATCACAGACAATAATCCACTTTCTACAAGCAGATAAAACCAAACCTTGAAGGTTCCCAAAGCCTTACAACCTCAACCTTATCTACAACAAGCACTCAGCAGATAATACATGTTTGATCAGTGATGATTATTCCATTAATGATCGATCAGGTGGTCCTCATCTCTTTTAATCTTCTACGAATGATTTCAATACACTCCACTGTACTGACTGTACTAACCTTACAGGCTGGGCTGTGTTTTGTGTATTTATTTATTTGGTTTTATTAATGCTATTGTCTCCATTATTCTTTTTAATTTGTTTTATTTTTATTGATGATATTGTTAATTTCTTTTAAGTTGCTGCTAGTAGATTTCTCTCTTCTGTAAAAAGTACTTTACTGAAGTGTGAGCAGTGAAAACTGCATCCCCCATCAAACAAAGCCACCAAACAAGTCCAGACTGTTTTTAGAAGCAACATCCTACTATTTACGGAAAGTTACAGCAACTGCCTTAACTCAGCACCCAGCTACGTTCAACTTCATGCCCACTGTACAACCCCTTTCCTATTTCTGTATGCTTATTCCATCTCCACGGCCTGTCCACTACCCCTACGTAACTAAGGCTTGAATTAATATTCATTGATCCCTGCAGCCTGCACACTACCCATCCATCTCTACTGCCTGTACACTACCCCTTTCTCCCTACAGCCTGTACACTACCCCTTTCTCCCTACAGCCTGTACACTACCCCTTTCTCCCTACAGCCTGTACACTACCCCTTTCTCCCTACAGCCTGTACATTACCCCTTTCTCCCTACAGCCTGTACACTACCCCTTCCTCCCTACGGCCTGTACATTACCCCTTTCTCCCTATGGCCTGTACATTACCCCTTTCTCCCTACGGCCTGTACACGACCCCTTTCTCCCTACGGCCTGTACGTTACCCCTTTCTCCCTACGGCCTGTACACGACCCCTTTCTCCCTACGGCTTGTACATTACCCCTTTCTCCCTACGGCCTGTACACGACCCCTTTCTCCCTACGGCCTGTACATTACCCCTTTCTCCCTACAGCCTGTACGTTACCCCTTTCTCCCTACAGCCTGTACGTTACCCCTTTCTCCCTACGGCCTGTACATTACCCCTTTCTCCCTACGGCCTGTACACTACCCCTTTCTCCCTACGGCCTGTACGTTACCCCTTTCTCCCTACGGCCTGTACACGACCCCTTTCTCCCTACGGCCTGTACATTACCCCTTTCTCCCTACGGCCTGTACACGACCCCTTTCTCCCTACGGCCTGTACATTACCCCTTTCTCCCTACGGCCTGTACACGACCCCTTTCTCCCTACGGCCTGTACATTACCCCCATTCCCCTGTTCATCACACTTCTGTTCCTACAGCCTGTGCACTACTGGTTGATCACACGACTGTACACTAGCACCCTATGCCAATACACTACTTCTCTGCCTTTAGCTCTTACACTACCCCTTCATGCCTACAGCCAATACACTACTGCTTCATCCTTATAGCCTGTACACCACCCCTCTAGCCCTCAGTCCAACAATTATAAAGCCTGTACACTACTCCTCCACTCTCATCTCCTACAGCCTGTATAATACCTCTACCCTCCATCTGTACAGTCTGTACACTGGCCCTCTACCCTCCATCCCTACAGTCTGTACACTGGCCCTCTACCCTCCATCTGTACAGTCTGTACACTGGCCCTCTACCCTCCATCCATTCAGCCTGTACATTGGCCCTCTACCCTCCATCTGTACAGTCTGTACACTGGCCCTCTACACTCCATCCATTCAGCCTGTACACTGGCCCTCTACCCTCCATCCCTACAGTCTGTACACTGGCCCTCTACCCTCCATCCGTACAGTCTGTACACTGGCCCTCTACCCTCCATCCGTACAGTCTGTACACTGGCCCTCTACCCTCCATCCGTACAGTCTGTACACTGGCCCTCTACCCTCCATCCGTACAGTCTGTACACTGGCCCTCTATCCTCCATCCCTACAGTCTGTATGCTATCCCTCCAACCCCCATACCCACAGCTTGTACACTACTCTTTGGTCCCTACAGTCTGTATACAAACCCTCTATCCTTCATGCCCACAGCCTGTACGCTGCCCCTATCCTCCATCCCTACAGTTCATATGCAAACCCCTTCTAGTCCCTACAGTCTGTATACCAGTCCTCTCCACCCTCTAAATGGAGTTACTCAACGCCATTTGTGGTGCTTACCTCACATGTAATAAAGTGCCTTTAAAAGTGGTCAGGGGTTTCCTGGCCCCCCTCAGCCGACTGGAACTGTCCTGCCTTTCCAAATCGTCTGGCTTCACTCCATCCTCTACAAAATTGACCTGCAACACAAACAACGGCAGAATGGTCAGATTTGGCCACAGATTACAAATTTTACCCAAAATTTCATTCAGTAATAAAGCACATACTGTATACAATGGTGTTTTGGGTGAAGTGCCTTTCACATCAGGATGCCACAACATGGAAACATCACTCAAGTTGACTGCAGATGAGGTACCCAAGGCCAAAATGCCAAGAGGACAACTCTATATGCTTCTAACAGAATCCCACAGAAATGTAGTAATTCTAACCACAACAGTGCCCTCATTCAGAGAATGGCTGTCAGTACAAACAGCGTTTCAGTTGGAGAGGTTTCACTACAAAGATCCACGTCATACAAGCTCAACAGCCACCGCAACACAGTCAGGAGACCCAAGCCAAAAACGCTGAACACGCACTTGCATTGTGCTGCAATAGCAGAAGTAGGACGGATGAGGGTGAAGTGATACTTGGATGCTGAAATGTAAGAGCATGGAGGACAGACGAGGGCCGTGCTGGGGGGAGGAAATGTGCCATAGGGGAAAGGTCAAAGGTCATCTGCGCTAATGAGTCAGCAGGGGTGACCGTATCGCAGCCATATACAAGAAACAGTGCTTCTCTAATAATATTCCAGTTTTAGAGACTCTTAAAATAAAGGTTCCTAAATGGTTCCTGGCTTGGACTTGCTGTTCTAGGGAAAATCTTTGGTACACAACTTTTACATGGAGGTTCTCTACACTTTCATATACCTCATTCATAGAACCATCCACTGAAAGGTTCTTCAATGAACCCAAAGTGGTTCTTCAATGACACTGCTGTATGGCAAAGCATCCCTTTAGAACTAACAGGTGCCAAAAAGTGTGGGACAAACAAAAACAAAGCCATTTGAGTTCGAAACCATCAAGGATTTTTATTCAGCATTTGATTCCAGTCAAATGCTAATGTTAAATATAGCAGGAAATCATTTATCATTGCTTCATACAAATTCAGTTATAAAAGATCACAAGTTTCATCCATACAGAAAAAATTAGTCAATCAAGTGTTTTAATTATCTGAATTATTAGTGTTTTCTGTAAATTGAGATTACGTAAATCATTAGTAGCGTACAAAATCAATGTCTGTAGTTTTTGGTAGGTCAGCATATAATATTCCATTGCAGCATCAATTTGAGGAAAATCAACAAGAAAGAAACAAAAGAAAAGTCCCTGTTGCATTAAATGGTGGTCCAAACGTGAATAATCAAAAATGAAATGAAATGGACATAAAAAAACAAACAACTAATTTTTTCCCCCAACAAAAAGTTTTGGTAAAGTGTCACATGGCACTAAACTTCCCTTCTTTGACAACAAAATAAAAACTCATGTTGAGTTGAAGATACTGGAGTGTTAAAATGAAAATGTAACACCAAACAAGCAGCTGGAGTGTTCAGAAATGTTTCTAAACCTTCATATTTCCCTTTGTTAAAAAGGCAATTTTTAAAATCTGAAAACGCTGCTGAGCTTCAGCATTTAGCAGGAACAAAAAGGCATCATCTCAGACCCCTTAACAGGAAAAGGACACTTGATTAATGAAATCAATTGGACATAATAATTACTTCATTAGAAATACCTTCAAAAATACATCATTTGTAGAGAAATGTATTGATTTGTAAACAAATCACCAAATCTAGAACTTGAGGTTATTGCTTTCAAATCATTAGCTTTAAGCTGCTACATTTGAATCAACTCTTGAAATGGAGAACAAAAAGTGAAGAAAAACGTGAACGGTAGGTAGACATCCTGCGAGATGTGGTGAAATGAGATGGACGCTGGAGACGAAGAAGGTGCATTCACGACCCAACAGTGCGGAACGTCTCCGAGGCCCTAGCAGCCCTTGTTTCAAAACAGAGAGAAATAGAATTAGCTTGAGAAAATCGGCAAACGGTGATGCATCCAAATCTTACAGCATTTGTGCCGGAATCTCGCTCTACATTCCCAGGAGAAAGCTGCAAATTAAACAAACAATTTTTAAACCACCTTAAAGGGGAATTGCTAAGATGTAATCAGGGTGGTTCAGAGTGGTTTGGTGTGAAACGCTCCGTTCTAGAGAAACTTACAGAGTCAGAACTGTTCACAGTGGTGGTGATAGGAACCAGACGTCCACCTCTAAAAGCTCCCTCACAGAAAGTTCCTACATGAAATGGTTATGAATTCACTGCCTGATGTCTGAGGCACTGTTTATGATAGTTTTGTGATAAAGTTTTGGCGTAAAAAGTATTTCACTCCATTTGGTTTAGTGCATTCATGGCCAAGTGCACATGAAGGGCATTGTGAGGCAGATAGTCCCCAAAGAGGACTTATATTTTCAGATTTATGACTATACCATCACCGACATTACTTATAAAAGCTCAGAAGACTCGTGTAGGTTCACTGGTGGTTTTGGACAGTAAATAAAATGTCTGTATTTGTGTTGTAGTCATGGCGACCCCTGGTTCCTATCACCACCACTGTAAAGAAATCAGAGTTAGTAAGTCTTTCTACAGTTAACCATTTCGCATCAAACCACTCTGAAATGACTAACATCAAGAAACATATTATGAAAAATTGGTGGATTTGATTGACCCTGTATATCGCTGTTGTCAGAAGAAAACCTTGTATCTCCATTTTTGTCGTTTTTCAGTTTTTGACAATTTGAAAATGCCTTTTGTCCTTCACATTGTGTGTAAATTTCATGAGGAATGGACCAAAAGAAACGACCCAAAATGACTTGGAAATATGTCTGGTTCCATTGACTTACATTAAAAGTAGAGTATGTTTTTTTTCTTTTCCTGTAAAGTTACCATTTTGTTTTCTTCCAACAACAGCGACATACACATTATGACAACTTAAGATTTACAGAAAAAAAGAAACAATTTAGGTTCAAAATTTGGTTCAACATTAACATAAAGGTTTTGTTTCCACTGCAATCGAGGTGACGCAGCTCGACAAAAACAACAGCAGCATCAGAATAAAAGAACAGAACATCTACATGAATGTCTAGATCACTGGGAGCCCAAACAGCCGCTTTTTCTCACCAGACCACAAACAAAGAAACAACAGTAGTAGCAATACAGTCCTGGTGAAACCCAAGAGCTTCTGCCACAACTGAGAAACTTCAGAAGGAGATTGGAAATTTTCAAATTTTGAGATAAAACCCTGAAAGGAGACGCTCGCTTGCTTCCATCTTCGGAATTTAACTAAGATTAGAGATTTTCCAACTCTGAGATATAACCGACTGGATGTTTTCCAACTTTGAAATTTAATCCAAATTGGAGATTTTCCAATTTTCCAACTATGACATTTAACCCCGATTGGAGATTTTAAAACCTAGAATTTTTCTTTTACCCGATTTTCTCCCCAATTTGGTTGTCTCCAATTCCACCCGCTAGTTAGGACTCCCCCAATCACATGATACTATCAACGCTAGGAGGGTGAAGGCTAACACAGGCTTCCTCCGAGACCTGTGAAGCCAACCACCGCTTCTTTTCGAACTGCCGCTCACGCAACGTCACTGGACAGCCGAACGCGCTCGGAGGAAAGCGCCAACCGCCAGATCTGTTACGTCAGCAAACAGACGCCTGAGCTGACTAGCATCGCGCTGAGTGAGTGATGGGGGAGAAGGGCAGCCATCCCACCCACCCAGAGAGAGCGAGGCCAATTGTGCTCTCTCAGACTCCCGGCTACGGACGGCTGTAGCATCACCAGGGATCGAACTCATGATCTTATTTTAGTAAGTTTATTTAATCCTGATTGGAGATTAAATCTCCAAATTGCAGATTTTCCAACTTTTCAACTTCGAAATTCAACCTCACAACCTTGACTGAGTTACCAATATTTTGAAACTTCTTAAAGTATAGCAGTCATGCTTTGGTGTCTCTTGATTAATTTAATCTACACTGTAAAAAGTGTCTCGTCAGATCTACTTAAAAAATTCTTTCATGTGGTAACAAGTAAATTAACTAGTTTTATTCAACCTAAGTAAATACTTTGAATGAATAGTTGAATAAAACTAGTTCAACTGCTTATTACTACATGAAACTTTTTTTAAGTAGATCTGATGAGACACTTTTTACAGTGTAAGCCAGTCTTTTTCATGAAATCCTCATCTTACAGAGTTATAACCAGTTTTTACAGAGTGTCCAGCGGTCACAAATGTCTCCTTTTAATCAGTGTGGTTCTGTGTCAATACATGCTGGTTCTAAGACAGAGTGCATACTGAAAGCATGCAGGCCGTCCTGTGTGAGTTTTCATCAGCTTCTTTTTTCGGCATGATGACGAGCACTTTCACAATCAGAACATGTGACTAGCACTGTGTCAAAGAATCACACATAAAAAACCCACACTGGATGTTCCTCATGATGGCTGTGAGAGCTTCACTAACAGCTTACAAGCTCAGCAATGTGTCAGCTTCACCCGTCACACACAAACACGAATGGACACAGAGCTTAAATCCCTCTTCAAAACACAAGTTAAAATGAACGAATAAATAAAATGATGCACATTTTCTTTGGATAAATTCGTTAATATATTTTTAGAGAGTATTTTAAAAGTAATTTCATAATTAACTGTGCATAATAAATATAATAAATAGTGACATTATTAAGTTTTTTAATACATTTTTTTAATTCTTGAAGCCCAATGTACTTAAACTGTGCCTGACCTTCGCCGCTACTGTTAGCCTGTTAGTTTCCACTGCATTTCAACAGTACAACCTCTTCCAGTCTGCAGGCAGTATTTACATTACTGTAATCCTTCCTGCAATTACAGTCCCTCACTGAGGTCAGACTTATTGCCCTGCTTGCCTCCAGCCTACAGAGATAACGCCAGACTGGGTCAACAGTCACAGCACAACCATACGTCAGCGCAGAGGGGCTGAAGGTTCGAGCTGAAGGACAGCAGTGATGATGAGGTGTAGGACTTTAAAATGTCATTAGATGTCATTAAAAACAGGAGTGGCTCGAATTGACCGATTCCAGTACAAACTGCACGGACTAAATTCTAAATTACTGGACACGTCTTATCCACCGGAGTTCATTATACAGCCTATCAGCTAATCGCTGAAGCCTGTGCTGCTTCAGTGGCTTCAAGTAAATAATTTACCACATTCACTGATGAATGTAAACCACATTTGGGCATTTTTACTGGTAATTTCAACTACAGCTGTGCTAACAGAATCATCAGAGCTCGACTGGACTGGGGGATGTGAGGGAATGCCATCCTCATGATCAAAAAAGAGAAGAAAGCCATGTAAAAGGACCACCACCACCCCCTTCCATTCTCTTTGGATCTTTTACGATCTACACACTATGGGAGGTTCAGGTCAAACAAACTGATCAGAACAGAGCAGGCAGATCTACCGAACAGCTGGTGATGCAGAAATCATGTGCACTTTTCAATGCTGTGGACAGTTTAGAGCCAGGTTTGCGGTCTTCCTGTCAAACTGAGCTGGTGTGAAATGCAGTCATGGGACAAAATAGTAAAGTTTCCGCTTCTGGGGGGTTGGGTGGCTTTTAAGCGAACCTTGGGCTGGAGGTGTCTGCTCGACCTGGCAGCGCTGCTCACCACAGAGGAAGAAAAAAAATACAGATATGTGGGAAACAAGTTTGATCATCAAAGAGAGGTATCAAGTTCATACAACTGGAAATTTGAGCTTATTTTTTTTGTTAGGGATAATAAAATACCCATTAAGAGGCGAAGAGGCATCAATAAACAGTGGCGTCTGGCCCCACCAGCAGTGCATGAAACAATCAATTACTTAGTATAACAACTAAAATACATATTTTTTTTTCGTAACTAACATTGTTGCGCATTTATTACACATAACAATGGTCTGGCTATCCGATACATCCCAAATACCTTCCTGTACCTGTTGTGTAAAAGCCAGTAGCCCACCTATTTCTCCTAGCAGTCTTTGTTTGGTGAGCGTGGGGCCATCAGCGCTCGTCTAAAGCTACGTTCACATTACAAGCCTCGCTGCTTAAATCCCGATTTTTTGCTCAAATCCGATCACTTTGACACGATGGTTCACACTCGTTTAGGTAAGTGACTCAAATCTGTCATTACTGTGACGAACCAGCGTCCTGAAATGACCCTCATGAGCTCATCCTACTCAGTAACGTCACGTGAACGAATCACGTTCATCATCAGCACAAACTAACGAGCAGAACGAGCTTCGCTGAGAAGATAATTAACAAAGGTGAAAAAGTTGAGATGAGCTGCTTTTCCACTGTTTACAGGCTTTAACTTCTGTTCGGCGCTGCTGCCATGGTAACGCTGATTGATGGGGCAGTGGAAAAAAAAAAGCACATGAATTTCCGATCTGAGCGTCACATTAAGGTCGTGTGGCCACAAATCAGATACGTATCTGATCTGGGACCACATATGAAAGTGACTCAGGTCGCATTTGAAAAGATCAGATTTGACCATACAGCTCTGAAAACATCAGATCTGAGTCACTAAAATCGGATTTGTGCCACTTCAACCTGGTTCAACACACTTTCAATAACCAGCCGTGGGGCCCGATCACGTTGGCCCCATGCTGAGCAGCCAATAAAACATAACAAATTTACAGACATCCAGACGTTTAGTAAGCCATTTAGTAAACCACAGCTAACCATTGTTCCTCATCAGCTGTGGTAGCCACTCATAATAGCAAGGCAATATAATGAGTCAAGTCAAAACATAATAAAAGTTAAATTTGGTTCCAGCCATTAGAGCAGAAATGAGAGATTAAACGTTTGAGACACACCAGCCAGAGGATTTCAACATCATTCAGTCTGGAAAGGACAAAACTGCTCCTCCAATACAGAGAGGTTCAAGAGAAAAACACGGCCAGCTGTGCTTTTCTTGCCTGCTCTTGCTCTGCTATCACTTGAATTCAGTCATGGGTTGGTCACTTTGAGAGTAAAGACTGTCGTGCATCTTTTCTTTTTGAACTTTTTGCCACACACCACAAAACAGCTCACACTCTGAAAGGTAATGCAGCTGACCCCATGTAAACAAAAGCGGTTTGATTTAAAACCTAAAGTTGAAACATTTTCCTCAAAACCACATAAAACGATTGAAATAAAATGAATAAATGATTATCTACATTTGCATATAAGACCATTCTCTGTTATGTATAAAGACATGCCAAGTCACAGGCTAATCACAATACAACACATCTCTAAAGCACCCCTACTGGTTGTCGGCTGAACCGACCATAACCGACCCCCTGAATTCTTTTAATAACTCAGCCACCGGCTATGATCACCTGTAGATGGCAGCACCTAAAAAAGCCAGTAAACCTCGTAACGCAACAACTGTGGCATTGTGATGCGCTGTGATACTACATCATGACAGGCGTATCGCAATTAGTAACATATCGTTGGCTAGTTAACAATCCCAAAAATAGAACATTTTCCATATGTGGCTTTAAGAAAGAAAAAAACTGACGTAGATGAGCTGATCACATGCTGTACATCCTAACAGAACCAAGTAAAAGAGGAAGAAAATCTAAAAAGGGCAAAGTCAAAATTTCTTTAGCGTAATAAATCAGCTCTGAACTAGTTAATGGGAACGTACCAATGTGGGAATTGTGGTATCTGGACATGCAGATACATAAACAGTTATAATGCAGAAACTGGAATTATATAGCATTACTGAGAAATATGACATTTACTTCTATAAGGTTGCAAGTGCAGAAACCCAGCGTCACCTATCGCTGGATCTTCTGGAGGAAAACAAATACATCAAATATCGATTTGAAACATTGGTCAAATATAAAAATCTGTCCGATTGTGATCTAATTCAGATATACACTGTAAAAAGTGGCTCGTCAGATTTACTTAAAAAAATACTTCATGTGGTGACAAACTAGTTTTATCAACATAAAAAAAATACACTGATTGCAAGAATCGTTCATTCAAAGTATTTATTTTGGTTGAATAAAACTAGTTAATTTACTTGTCACTACATGAAGTATTTTTAAGTAGATTTGATGAGCCACTTTTTACAGTGTAGATTGAGATGTTCTGTTTTGAAGAGGTTACTTGTGATATGGGGACGTTTGACTTAAAAATAGGAAACGGGTCACTGACCACCAAAAACAAAACATTTTCCATGTGTGGCTTTAATAAAGAAAGTATGATGGCTGCACTGCTGTAGATGAGCTGATTACGTGCTGGCTGTTTTAACAGAACCAAGTAAAAGAGGAAGAAAATATAAAAAGGGGAATGCCAAAATGTCTTAGGCCCAGTCCCATTTCTTCTTTTTACCCCTACCCCTTGTTTTCAAGTGTCACCCTAAGCGAGTTACAGGGTAGTGGTTGAAATCTTCCCTCTGAAATGGGACCCTCAAATAAAAAGAGCATCACTTCATTAACAGCTACCAGCGCTGCTCTGTAGGCGACCCTGCCAGTCTGCAGTGACAGCAGAGGAGGGTAAAGTTCAGCTCCTCACTGCTGGGCTTTAGTTACATTTAGGGCATCATATGATCTTCAAAGAGGGGGGCAATTATTTATTATCACCCACCCCTAATTCTTCAGTGATATGAAGCTGAAGTCAGATATTCTCCAGATTCTTGTTCAAATTTTCCCGTTCCACCTTAAATGGTGCAGCAGTTACATTCTGGCGCTTCAGGAGTCAGAACTGCTGGACTATTTAAGGTGGAACGGAAAAGTTAGCTAGCTATCTACCGAGACATCAGCATAGTATTAGTGATTTTTTATTCTTGTTATGAAGAAAACGACCATAATATACTGAAACTACATTAAACTAGGATAATACAGTGGTTATTGTGCTTTTTTTAACAGAGAAAATTCTCACATTTGTGGGTTTCTTTGGTCTCTTGTTCTCCATCTTGCTGGTTTTTCTTTTTTCTCATAACTCTCTGTTTGGAGTCTCTGAAAAACCTCTGTTTGGAGGGTCATGTAGCTCTAACACTTCCCTACCCCTCTATCTCAACAAGAATCGGGACACCCTACACCTAGATATGAACACGCAAAACAGAGGGGTAGGGCTAAGTGGTAGGAGCGAGGGGTGAAATGGGACTGGGCCTTAAACATTCTTCTGGCCAAGAAGGCTAAAATAAGAGTGGGATGTGAGCTCTCTGAGTAGACAGACAGCTCAAAACTGAAGCTGGAACAGAAAAAAAACCACTGTGACTTGATTCTGAACTTCATTCTAACGTGATATCAAATGTAATAGCGTTAACATGGCCATCAGTGACTGTAATGTAATCTTAACAGTCTGTAGACTATTAAAAGTCCAGGCAGGCTCTGGCTTGTGACGCAGCTCATACCTTTTTGGGTCGGAGGGCTAGCTCGGTGCTGAAGCTGGACTCCAGGCTTTCCTTACACTCGGACTCCGTATCCTTCGCCTCGCTCTCGTCTTCGCTCACAATCGGCCCATTTTCACTGATGGGCGACTGGAAGTCGTCGTCCGGGAGGGGAGGGTAACTGTACTTGAACTGGTCCTACGACACAAACAGGACACAACAATTAACACTTCACTCACGTTTCAGATCAGTAATAATGCATCAGCGTCTTCAGTCCTGTTACTGTGATGTTCTACCTGGTCCAGTGCGTTCAATAGGCTTTACTGTGAAACCTAAACCTACACTGATGGTTCTTCAAGGGTTCTTTAGTAAAGGAAATTCTTGTGTATAGAACCACCAACACTCAAAGAACCCTTGTTACGATTAAAGGGCACTTTGCCTGGTCAAAGGCTTCTTCAGATTGAGGGATACTGTACTGAGTTTTTGAAAAGGGTTCTATATAGCACCAAAAAGGGTTCTTCTATTGTTACGATGTCAAGCCCATTTTTGGTGCTAAATGGAACCCTTTGTAAAAAGGTTCTATATAGAACCATATAAAAAGTCTCTATCAATCTGAAGAACCCTTTAATGACGCAACGGGTTCTTTGAGTGTTCATGTTTCTATATACAACCATTTTCCTTACTAAAGAACCCTTGAAGAACCATCTTATCTTATAGTGTGTAGGCTAAATAAGATTTTTAATAGTGAAACACCACCAGCATCGCAGTTTAATCAAGAAAAGATTTTAACATGTCCAAGAAAGTAACTATTTATTTTTATAACTATTTAATTATTTTTATATAACCATTTATTTACTTGCTCTAAGATCAGCCTAGAAAAAAAAAGCTCAGCTCAAAGCTCAGCGTTCCCTCCAGAGAGAGAACCTCTCTCCCACAGAACCCGCTTTTCTCAGCTGCCTGAAACGCCTCGTTGGAATTCCAACCCTTTTCCTTTGTTACAGGATGATGTAATCTCATAACACAATTCTTACTGGCCGCCTGTAGGGGCAGAACTTGTAGCAGGATGTCTACTTGCTCCAGCGGTTGACCAATCAGAGCAGACCGGACTCATTGAGGGGGGCGGAGCTTAAAGACACAGGAGCTCAAATAGAGATGTACAGAATGAGAAAATGAATGTTTTGGAACATTAAAGCATGTAAATCTATTCTAGACCCCAAAAATAAAATTCCGACCACTGAAAATGAGCATGACAGGTCCCCTTTAAAGGTGGCCGTAGGGGTGGGTCAGATTAACTCAAATTTATATCAGGGTATTTACTACTATTCTAACAATAATATGCAGTGATGATTCACTTTACTAATAAAAAAGGAATGACTTTATAATAATAATGATAATAATAGCTATTATAGTAATCACTTATTTATTGTTACTATAGCAGATTTTATACGCTCTAAACAAAAAAGCTCAATATGGCTCAACTAAAACAGAAAATAAAAACAACTGAAAAGCATTCTTCATTGTGTAAATACCATCATCCACATTACAAGCTTCTTCAGTTCTACTGTAAGGAACTAGCTTTAACCTACAGCCTCTCCTCCTTTGTCTGTACCTACTCACTCGTCCTCAATTCCATTTAGTACCTTGTGGTTGGTGTCTAAAATATTTTTTCACACTATTTGCTGTATTCTTCCATGGAAACTGTTACTGGGGTTCCACAGGGCTCTATCCTTGGGCCAGGGCCTTTTACTGCGCATATTAAGGAAATAAATCACAACTAAAAACATTTTGGATGTTGAAGTAAACAGATTTTGTAGATTCACAACGGTGTATTATTCTAGAATAAGTTACAATTAACAACTTAAATACAATAAAAACAAATATATACATATATATACACACACACACACACACACACACACACACACACACACACACACACACAATACGTAGATGTCAACATTGCTTCCCAACCCTAACGAGATAAAGCTGAGTGCACGTAAAGCCCACAGCAGCTTCTCTGAGGCCGGAAAAAAACGGCGCTAAATATTTTGCGTCCAAAAGTCATTCATCACACGTGAGTCTTTCACTCAAGCTTTCATCTGCGGCCGTCAGATGCTGCTGAAACTCGATAAATGTTACCGTCAGTCACGCTATCAGTATTAGCTTCCAATGTGAGAAGTAGGAGTTTAAAATTAATTCACTGTGAAACAGAAAGTCAGTGTAACTGATGGAGAACGGTTGTGATGTGTGCTTTGGTATGATAGTACGGACTCCTTGTGGTAAGTGGTTGAAAAGCAACCACTCCTTCCAGAAGCTTGGACAGAAATGAGAGATTAGAAATCAGTCAACAGTTACTGTTCATTAAGGTCAAGGCCAGTTTCTAGAGAACTGGAGTGATCGCTGCATTAATACGTGGAAACTGTTACTGAGGTTCCACAGGGCTCTCTCCTTAGCCCAGCGCCTTTTACTGTGTATATTAAGGAAACAAATCACAACTAAAACCATTTTGGACATTTGAGTAAACCGATTTTGTATAATAACAATGGTGTATTATTCTAGGATGTCCCTTCACTTCTAATAAGAGCCATATTTTTAATATTTTTGCCAAAAATATTAAAAACAGAACAATACATAGACATCACTATTGTTTCCCAAAACTAATGAGATAAAGCTGAGTGCATGTAAAGCCCCCAGCAGCTTCTCTGAGGCTGGAAAAAAACTGTGCTGAATGTTTTTCACTCTTTTTGAACTGAGCAGCTGAATTTTGGATACACTGAAGTCTATTTAGAGCTTTGCCAGAAATACCAACAACAAGGGAATTGAAACCAAGTGTGAGGTTGTGAATGTAATTCGGTCAGTACCATAAATATACTGAACTTTAATACCCTGTCCTTGTGGTAAGTAGCTGAAAAGCAACCACTCTTTCCAGAAACTTGGACAGAAATGGGAGAAATCAGTCAACAGTTACTGTTCATTAGGGTCAAGGCCAGTTTCTAGAGAAATGGAGTGATCGCTGCATTATTCCGTGGAAACTGTTACTGGGGTTCCACAGGGCTCTCTCCTTGGGCCAGTGCCTTTTACTGTGTATATTAAGGAAAAAATCACAACTAAAACTATTTTGGATGTTTGAGTAAACGGATTTTGTACATTAACAATAGTGTATTATTCTAGGATGCCCCTTCACTTCTAATAAGAGCCATATTTTTTTTATGTTTTCACCAAAAATATTTTTATTGGTCAAAATAGTAAAAACAGAACAGAACAATACATAGATGTCAATATTGCTTCCCGACCTTAACGAGATAAAGCTGCGTACAATAAAGGCCACAGCAGCTTCTCTAAGGTCGGAAAAAACACCGCTGAATATTTTGCGTCCAAAAGTCATTCGTCTCATATGTGAGTCTCTTTCACACAAGTTTTCAGCTACGGCCGTCAGATGCTGCTGAGACTTGGTGAATATTAGCGCCAGTCACGCTATCAGTATTAGCTTTCAACGTGAGACGTAGGAGTTTAAAATTAATTCACTGTGAAACAAAGTCAGTGTAACTGATGGAGAACGGGTGTGATGTGCGCTTTGGTACTACAGTCCGGACTCTAGAGGCTGAATTTTGGACGCGCTGAAGTCTATTTAGAGCTTTGCCAGGAATACTAATGACAAGGGAATCGAATCTAAGCGTGAGGTTAAGAATGTAATTCGGTCAGTACCATAAATATACTGAACTTTAATACCCTGTCCTTGCAGTAAGTGGTTGAAAAGCAACCACTCCTTTCAGAAGCTTGGACAGAAATGAGAGATTAGAAATCAGTCAATCGTTACACTCTTCATTAAGGTCAAGGCCAGTTTCTAGAGAACTGGACTGATCGCAGTTTTACAGGTCAAAAGAACAAAAGCAGCCTCAAGGGATTTGTTAATGTGGGACAACAGAGGAGAGCAGACCTTGAGAATGGAGGTTGGGGAAGGGGCAAGATGGGGGAGGGGGTTATATTGATACTTCATTTGATGAACGAAAAAACAAAACCAAAACAACACTTAAACACTCAGTTGTTGGTATACTAAAATAACGATGCATGTCTTTTGGGAGGGCGGCACGGTGGCGCAGTGGGTAGCGCTGTTGCCTCACAGCAAGAAGGGCCTGGGTTCGATTCCCAGCCGGGCGACCAGGGTCGTTTCTGTGTGGAGTTTGCGTGTTCTCCCCGTGTCTGCGTGGGTTTCCTCCGGGTACTCCGGTTTCCTCCCACAGTCCAAAAACATGCAGTTAGGCCAATTGGATGTGCTAAAATTGCCCCTAGGTGTGAGTGAGTGTGTGAATGTGTATGTTTGTCTGTCTGCCCTGCGATGGACTGGCGACCTGTCCAGGGTGTATCCTGCCTTCCGCCCAATGACAGCTGGGATAGGCTCCAGCACCCCACCGCGACCCAGAAGGATAAGCGGTTTAGATGATGGATGGATGGATGGATGGATGGATGTCTTTTGGGACAAAACCTCCAGGTGGAAACCGAATGATTGTGGTGTTATGCAGTGACACAGGGGAGCTTTCAGATATGAAGAGCAGTGGTTTTGCTTGGGAGCCTCAAATCAGCACGTCTTTCTTTTTGCTTTCAAACATCTTTTTCCGTTTACATCAGAGCTTTTTTAGCTACATGCCCCAGGTTTCAAGACATCGGGATAATGAACGTGTAGGCCAAACTGCAGACTCTTAATACATTATGGTAGCTGAACCAGACTTCATCTATTTTATGCTATATTCCAGCGGGATTAGTTTCACCAGAGGAGAAACTGGTCTGACCGATCTGTTAAGGATAAAGGATCTGTGTAATTTCCTGACTTTCCTGACTGATTGTGGGGAAGTTAACATCATTATGCAACAGGTGCCACAGAAGGATCACAGTTGCTTTGCGCTTCACCACCATGGCATTTCACTTCTGGTATAAAAAGGTAATGTTAGTTCAACTCGGGATAAGAGAAATTAAGCCAAGTTAGCTTAATGCACATATATAGGCCTGTTCTAATACCCCTTTAATGTTCTGCTCAACCTTTTGGTAGAGCACATTTTTAGTTATTATACACTGACCAGGCATAACATTATGACCACCTCCTTGTTTCTACGCTCATTGTCCATTTTATCAGCTCCACTTACTATATAGGTGCACTTTGTAGTTCTACAGTTACAGACTGTAGTCCATCTGTTTCTCTGATACTTTGTTAGCCCCCTTTTACCCTGTTCTTCAGTGGTCAGGACTTTTTTATTGATTTTTTTATTTTTTATTACTGATTAACTTCATTAATGCTTATTTTCTAACGGTATTCATGTTAACTTATTAATATTACATTAAGGTCATTAATGCTAATGTATTAATGCTACATTTTTAACTTAATGCTAGCTTTTTAACTATGTTAATGCTAAATTATGAACTTCACTAATGCTAAATTACTAACTTTATACATAACACTGCACTAAATTAATGTCATTAATGCTAACCTACTAAGTTTAATGGTAATGTATTAACGCTACATCATTAACTTAATACTAACTTAAGTATGATATTAACTTTATTCATGCTAACTTAAACACGAAAATTGTCTAAAAACACTAAACTTCATTAACGTTAAATATTACCGTCACTAATACTAATTAACGCTAACTCATAACCTTAATGTTGTCATTAACTTTAATTATGCAAACACATTGACTTTCCTAATGTTACATTATTACATTTATTAATGTAAATTAAATATAATCTGATACTGTGATATATTTGGAAAAAATTATGTTAAATATGATCAACCTTATTAACCATTTTTTGTAATGAAATTTTACCAACACTTAATATAGCCTTTAAAAAATATCACGATTTTATTGTTAATTTTATTTTTCCTACCGTTCCTCCCATGTGTGGGGGGAGGTGCTCAGGGCTGATGAATGTCTGGATGTCAGCTTTGGACACAAACTTCAGCTTGCTGATGGCTTCTGGACCCAACCACGTCTTTACTATCTTCCAGGCAGCTGTTAGAGAAAGATATTCATGCCACAACAGCTGGACGCAAGAAATTATTAAAATAATAAAAAAAAATAATAATAAAATTAAAAAAGGAGATATTAGACTTCTCAAATCTACAGAGAAGAAACAATTCTTACCATTCATAATCCAAGGCATCTCGACAATGATCATTTTGGCTAAAAAAAGACAGAATAAAAACAAGAGATAATGAGTTATACATCATCCCACTGTCACACAGTATATTATAATCTGAAATCATTTTTTTCTTGCTTAATTTTCATTTTATTTAACATTTTCTATTTTTACACCTTTGTTTTTTCCCATTTTTTGCTTATTTTATTCTTCTTTTATTTTATTTTTTCCTTTCATTTATGCTTGTTTAATGTTCACTCTATTGTGAAACACTTGTGTATGAAAGTCGTCATACAAAAATAAATATTTTTATTACATAAACAGCACTTTTAGTCCTTAGTCCTTTGCTTTAAAAATCAGTTTTGCCAAATTTGTAAACTTTATTTCACCAAAAGTCACTTTTTTCACATTTTAAAACACCCAGGATCAAATTTAACGACCAAAAAAATATAATCAGGTTTGTAAAGTTTATGACGGAACTGTCGGCTGTAACTAAAGCAGATGAATAAGGTGGTATAATGAGCACGACACCAGAACCTCGGAGCAGAGCGAAAGCACCGCGGCCTGACGGGTCATTATTTTCTCCTTTTTTTCAGCTTCAGGAACAGCTCTACGAAAGCCAAATGAAGCCTTCGACCCACACCGTCGGCACTCAGCTGTTAAAGAACGTTACAGGTCCAATCTTCTCGGAGAACGCTCCGATTTATCGTTAAGGCTGTTCCAGCTGGAGGAAACACATTTTTAAAACATAACATATTCACGTACGGCCTGGTGTTTCCATTATTTTGCTCGCTTGTTTATTACAGTATTTTTCATCAGTATGTAAATTGGCACTGCGGGAAACAGACGGAGTTCCTGGTGACCTTGTTTGCTTTAATAGAGCAATCTCACACTTTCATGTGGAAGCAGCGCCGGGATAATGAGGAGGAAAGGTGCCAAAGGTTACTCTGGAAATGAAACATTCCCACCGTTCAAAGGAATACGGCTAATATATAAAGAAAACACGAGCGAATGCACTTACACAGAAACTTCGGGTAGTACACTTTGAAGCAGTTAATGATATACTTCACAAAGTCCATGTCCTGTGAAAGAGAGAGAGAGAGAGAGAGAGAGAGAGAGAGAGAGAGAGAGAGAGAGAGAGAGAGAGAGAATGAGTCATACGTGCTGGCTCAGAGTGAGGTTTAATGATGAAAGGATTTTTTTTTGTTTTCTTTTTATTTATTTATTTATAAAATGGGCATTCAGTGAAAGCACAGTTTGGCCAAGCTGTGATTTTCACTGCCTCAAGCTGTGAAATGACCCACTTCGCACCAGCCGAAACTCTGTCACAAGTTCGGCTGAACCGCGTTAGCACCATTAATCTGGTGACTTCAGTCACAGGAACAGAGTTTCGGCTTCTGGTGCAACAGGAAGTTCCAAGGAAGTAAGTCAGAAACACCAAAGCGGGCACACCATGCAGCGAAAACCTCAAAAAACATAGGGGCTATTTTTGACACAGCCTGTTTGGATCCCCGGCTACAAGGTCATTCCTGCTTCTGGGTCAAAGCTGCCCTTGTATGCAGACCTACAACTCGAATCCCAGGCCTTAAAGGGCCCACATCACTGCTGTGGGACCAAAACCTCGCATCTCCATTTTTGTCGTTTTTCAGTTTTTGACATAACTTAAAAATGCCTGTTGTTCTTTACATCGTGTGGAAATTTCAAGATGAATGGACCAAAAGAAACGGCCCAAAATGACTTGGAAAAATGTCTGGTTCCATTGACTTACATTAAAAGTGAAGTAAGTTTTTTCCTTCTTCTGTAAAGTTACCATTTTGGAGATACGAGGTTTTGGTCTGACAGCAGCGATATACTGCATTTTTAACCTTTTTAACCCCTTGAATTAAACAAGCCATTTGATAATGTGCCTTTAAGACTGATATATGTAAATAAGCTCTGTTCTGATGGGTTACCTTGTATTGTGGCTCATTTGGGCTGAAACACTCCTTATAACTTCAGCATAAGTGGGCGGGGCTAAAATGTAGACTGAATATGCAAATTTGTCAGGTTTCCTGGCGCCTGAAAAATGTATTTTCTATATACTCACTGTATGGACTGGAGAGTGGACAGTACGTATAGAAAAACTCTGTAATGCTACATCAAAAGAAGAAAATTAGTTTTTCCAGTATCCTTTAAAGCGACACTTTGGCCAAAAATCTAAATTTTCCCAGTTTCTCCCCACTTAGCTGTAATGTAGGCAGCCAAGACACGATTGCTGTCTGAAGTTTTGCTTCTTTAGTATTAGCACTGGGGCTAAGAGGCTAATGTAGCTAACAAACAATGAATCTAACAACCCAACAATTAGCATGACGCTAACCGCACTTCTCTCAGACTGTGTGGAGGTGTTCAGTATCTCTAATAGTCTTGATTATGTGGTTTCTGACACGGAATGACTCACTGTTATCTATAAACATGGACTAAGATACACGCAAAAATCAGGCTGCTGTTTTTAGCTATGCTAATATACAGTCGTGTGCAAAAGTTTCAGGCACCTGATTTAAAAAGTCGTTTAACTGGTCATTGAGCATTTATTTGCCCAAAAAAAAACAAACAAACACCTCATTTACCGACATGTTCTTAATTTTTTTCTTGAATTTGTTCTTAAAAAGGTCCTACAAAAACGTCTACATCAGATTGATGACGTGTGTTTAAACTGCAGAACTGTTCACTTTCATGCTCTTGAGTGTGCAGAGATTCTGTTCTTGGCTAAGATCAAATCAATAAAAATCAATTCAAATACAAAAACATCAGAGAATGTCAGAATCTTTGTGAAAACTGCATCAGTGAGTTTTAAGAAGAAATTTCTTCTTAATAATAGTTGATGAATGAGGCCCACTAATATCAGAACATCAGCAAGTACAATGTTAAAAAAAAAACAAAAATCTGTATAAAACGGTAAAACGCAGCAGGGAGTGCCACACAATTAACAGTAAAATTATGTTTTCTCACAAATTACAGCCATTTAATTTCTTAGAAATACTGAATTCCAGTCCAGCCAGTGCTAAAACTAAAGAAGCCAACTTAGACAGCATGTCTTGGCAGATCTACTACATTTGGGGAAATTGAGTAAATGTGGGTTTTGGCTTTAACCACCAGAGGAGGAGGCAGGGCATCAGGGTGAAAGAGCAACATCCACCATCAAACCCCACTCAGATGGAGGTTGTGCAACACTGATGCACTGACTGACTGGGCGACCTTGACCTTTGTTCTCCATATCGTCCCTCAGGACACTCCCCAGCGAATATCACTTCTGCTCTGCGCCCAGAGAAGCAGGCTTTTATCTCTGGTTCTAGATATCAGACGTGTGTGCTGTTTCAGAGGAGCCGCCCAAAATAAGGACCTTTTCTCTGGTTGAATATGTTGATTTCTCAATAATATTCAAATACAATTCTCAATAAATGCTCAAGAGTGACCAGACAGCCAGTGCTGCTGGTGTATATACACTCACTGGCCACTTTATTAGAAACCAGGGTCTGAGCGATGTTTTAACCGGCTGATAATTTGTAGTATTCTGATGTCATGTAATCGCGCTGCCACCATTTTGGTTGGGAAGTTCACTCGGGAGCTCAGCGGCAGTTAGTTATGAGATAAAGTCATGGAAACTACACAAAAGGTGGTCACTGATTACTGTACAGTGCATTTTGTCCGCTATATAGGTGGAGTTACATACTGTTCCTCAACCATATCTAGCCAAGAGTGGCTCTGTGGTCTGACCGTTAATGAAAAGCTAGAGAACGGACAACTGTACACCAGCAAGGCGGAGCTACAAGGGAGGGGTTTCTGATAAAGTGGCCGGTGAGGGTGTGGGTTGATCATGCAACACGCAAGGAGTTTTCAAAGGAAGTTCACACAAATGCAATAAATTTACACTTAAGCAGTTAACTTCAACTTCCTAAAGGGGAAATCCATAACAATAAGGAAACAAAAAAAGGGAAATAGTCATGCAAACTCAGTACCGATAAGTGGGGGTGTGGAGGGCAATGTGGGAGAGAAAGAAATATATAACGATTTTAAAGTAATTTACACAATACACAATGCAAATCATGATACTTTGACACAGCCATAGTGCATTAGTGGTGTCACTTTAAAAAAAAAGCCACCAAAACAATCAACACAATGATTATTTGACATTTTACACACCATGCAGCACTAAACCCAATTAAAAAGGACTAATTGTGCCGTCTTTGTAATGAAACATGCAGTTGGTCAGTGCTCTTTAAGAACTGGCGATATCTACGATGTGCTCAGAAATGCATATCGTGTGTCATGATAACAAAAATGATCACAATACTGATGAAATATAAATCACATTGCCCAAGCATAACGATGGACCAATCTGTGTCCATATTCAGTGGTCTGGTTAAAGGGTTCTGTTAATGCCTTAAAGTCAGATTTGCAGATGGTTCTGATTGGGGTTCTCGCTTCATCTGCCCTGTGCTATCAAACCGGGCCGGTTCAGTTTGAGGGAGAGAAAGAACGCAAGCGGAGAGGAGGTGGTCCAACACAGACGTCTCGCGCAGTGAAACTGAAACACAGTCACTAAGGATTACACCACCAAGCTGGATTGACCAAAGGGATTAGGAGGTCACTTTAATCTGAGACGTTAAATACTGAGCAGCATCTACAGCTCATACAGCTAATGAGGGAAAGACACACGCCGGGGGTCCTCAAAGACAAATCACGACAAACATCTAATATGACAGATTAACACATCCAGAAATCTGCCACCAGAGAAACTCAAATCAGGACAGAGTGGATATAGTCGCTTCACGGTGCGTCTAACATTAATACTATAATTAGTGTTTATGAATAAAATAAAATTAATAAATAAAATGTGATTTATTTAAGATTATTATTGTTTAATTGATTGAAATTAGCTACTATAAGCACACAGTTTTTCCTATACATATAGGTAGGTATGTTAATTACATGCATTAATATTAATAACACTAAGGCTGTGTTCACATATCAGATAAAAGTGGCCCAAATCTGATTCTCACCAATGTTTTTTTATTTTTTATACAATATAATTTTAAATGTGATCTATTTGTGACATCAGGCTGAACAGATCAGGTGCCTAAACTGACCCGCATGTGCAAAAGAACGTGAGTCATCCAGAGGTAAACAATCACAATGGAGTCTGCGGTATCGGCCACTCCCGGTGGTTTCAGCTTCATCTTCTCCAGCATCACAAGACCTGATAAGAAGGTCTGATGACTGACAGCCGGGCTCATCAACCAGAACGCATCCGAGCTTGCTGTAGAAAAGGCCCTGTTATTCAGACACGGCTCTCATCCTTGCTTTCTTTAAACTTTCAGACTTTTAAATTTTCTTCCTCGTTCTCCTTCTCAGACACAGCCTCAGTCTAAGTCTAGGCTAAAAACCTTGTTTAGTGGAGCCTTTGGTAATTAGCTTTTTCCCTGTGAGATAAAAGGTGCAGATCTGGGGTTCAAGGTCATAGAGTATTATGGTAAACTGGGAGTGTTGGTGCCGTCGTCCCGCTGCCTCACACACTCACTCAGATTTGTTGACGGTGGAACGGAGGGGCGCCGACATCTCAGGGAGCCTCATGACTCTGTTACCTTCTGTCTCTCCCTCTTAGTGAGGCTGTAACAGCTCGACCTGCCGGAGTCTCTGCTGCTCTGTTAACCCTGTAAACTGTGATCAGTCACTCTTTACAGAACTGTTTGTTTCACAACTAACTTTGCGTTTCTTAGCCGAGTTGAACAGATGCCCATCCTGTGGGTCTGATGCTGTTGCTTCATCTGTGCTGATTGGGTGGCCACTGCACGCCAGCCTTCTGGACCAGTTTCCCCACTATGGAGCTTTCTGCTGTACAACGATGTGCAAACCTCACCTGCATTACCTGACCCTCCTGATGCTGCTGCTGCACAGACTCAAACTATTTAATCATAGATATTGATTCACCTGCTTTTCCCCTTTTCTGTATTTAAATATTTTACACTAATGTTAAAACCTTATTCTCCGTTCGTTTTGCTCTTTTGTTACTGTTTGCTATCCAGTGTGGTCCAGAGGAGGAGTTTCTTGCCACTGCTGCCATTGGCGATGCTCATGGGGGCTCAGACCCAGATTTTTCTGTCAAAGCTGCTTTGCGATAACGCCTGTTGTAAAAAGCGCTATATAAGCAAACCCTGACGACTTGACTTGCGTTCAGTCATTTCTTTCGAAATCTCTGAGCGGTGTGGATGAGTGTCTAATTTTCTTAGTACAGAAACATCAGGCCAAATGTTTGAGGTCTCAGCGGCGCAAAAGCATTATTAATGTCAAACTGGATTGACGTAAAAGTCTGGCTGTTCAGACCGAGTCATGCTGCCGCATATCGGACGTGTATCGGATTTCGGTGCCACAGATGAAAGTGTCCCAGATTGAAACGTCAGATTCAGTGTGTTTTTGCTGTTCACACTGACACACATATGAAGAAAAGGATCAGATATGGGCCACTTTTAGCTGCTGTGAGAACAAAGCCTGACTTTATTTACAGGTTTCATTTATTTTGTTATGCCTTCTTTGATTTGTAGTGATTTATTTTTCCCCTGTAAAACGAGACACTGTTACATAAATGTACACAGTAAAGGACTGTCTGACCTGCTGCCTGCTTCAGTTTTAACCTGGCATCTTTCTTTACACTGTAAAAGCTGTAACACATGATGATTTAGGGGTTTCTGAGCCTTTCTGCTCTGGTAGGTCGCATTACAGCCTATCAGCTGTTTTTACATAGTCTGGCAGGACAATAACAGGGAACTGAGTGTCTCAGGACTGAGAAGAACCGTAATCGCTGGCAAAAGGGGTTAACCACATGTTGATAGCTAGACGAGAAAGGCGCCTTTTTACTGCAGCACCAACCGCTGCAGTGCAGTGACCAACCTGTACTTCCCTAAAATACAGCCATCTCTTCTGACTGTATCTCAGCTAAGCGCCTTTCAGTTTCAAAACTAATCACATCTTGAGGCAGATAAAATTCCCATGAATGTGTAATTACAGTAAACTACAGAACCTTCAATAACTGTGTGGCTAAAATGTGAGAAATACTGAATAAATCATTCCTTCAAATTATATTTTGTTGCCTTGTTGTGAGAATTTAATTCTGCAGGGTACAAGTTTTTTCATTTGAAATAGCAAATTAATAAGGAAATTGATTCCAAAATTTTGAATGATAGCGTAGATAACAGTGTGTCATATAATCCAGGTAACAACTCCACATGGTTTACAAGGAGTGTGATGATTTAGGCCTTAGATGCATTTAGACACACCTAGATGCTGCGTTGGGTCCAGCCAGACACGTCAACAGCGCCGCCATTTTGGGGAGGTCAACATCACTACTGGACTGCATTCAGTACCATTACAGAGCGGCAGTTTAAGAAAAATACTGTCCAAAATTATATTATTTCAAGAATATCACACTCAGAAAGTGGGATAGGATTACATAACAGAGGGAACGCAGTGATCCACACTCATGTCTGTGTGATGTTTGTGTAGATAAGGTCGTGTGGTTGGTGAAGCACTGAGAACCTGTTGATGTGATTGTTTTTCCTTTGGTTTTATATTAAGCTGATTTCATTTACTAGTTTTATTAAGGGGGTCTTAACTTTATGTAGTAATTATTTATTTACAGTGATGGTTAAATGCTTTGTAGCGGTAAGTTACAGCATTCCTTAATCCGTGTAGAGATTCATAACCGATTAACGTTAGAACCTTCTTACACGAAGCTGAAGTTGGCTTCTCATTTACCAGCTTCTTTGTTCGCATTTTCTCATTCCACCTTAAATGGTGCAGCCTCAGGCAGGTGGGACGGGAAAACTCGAACAAGAAGCTGGCGAATAGGAAGCCAACTTTAGCTTCGTCCTTCTTACTGTGTTTTGGGGGTTTATTTTATTTTTATGTGTATTAAAATTTGAAGTGATTCACAAACTGATGGATTTGCTGATGTGTCTGATTGTGTTTCTCGCGCTGAAACTCGGTTTTTTTAACGTCAGGTTCAGACTGAATCCTCTCCTGCTGGTCCGGACGGCTAATTAGCACGATCAGTTATTAAAGTAATAAAGCTACCGAGAGCAGATCCGTGCAGCCCGGATTAATCTGTGTCTGAGGATTATAACTAAACAGATTTGGTGAAAATCGTTTGAGTAATAAGGAAGTTGTGGCTGATTTAATCCTGAGACTCATCGTCTCTCAATACAAGTGAATCTGTTCACAAGCGGATCTTGACCTCTCCAACATGGTGGACGCACAGACGTATCGCCTCAGATAAAGAACAACAGACAACGCGGCATCTAGGAATGTATATCTATGACTCCAAACAGGACTGATCGATTACATTTGGGATAAGTGTGTGTGGGTGGATTTTTCACCAAACCATCACTTTAACAAGAAGGTGGGGGGGCGGGGGTGTGGGTTACTTACGATGTTGCTGAGGCCGGACTCAGACATGTCAAAGACGACCGTGAGGGGCATGCCGGGCTCACGTTTAGCGTAGCGCTCCAGCCAAAACGCCACATACCTCTTCTTGTCCACAGCTGTTTTGGCGTCCTTAACGTGGAGCTTCACTTTGAACCAGACTGAAAACATAAAAACAAACACAAAGAAGCTACAATCAGAAATGTTCTTTAAGACTAGGGCTGACCGATACGTAGCTTGATTGATAAAATCGGCCAATTATAAGGACAAATTTATTGTTATCAGCAAATATGTTTTCTACAAAGCTAAAAACTTTCAGATGTTTGACTTTCAAACTCTCAATTATTCCATTTTTCAAAACTGTATTGAAATCGTTCCTCCAAAGTTAGTAGCTCCTTAAAACTGGTATGTGTGACAATTTTCATGTCAGTCCTACTTTGAACCATTCAGTTTTGTATGACACAATACAAGAACTTCTGATTTGCTGCTGAGCTATTTGATAGAAGGCCAAAGAGGAAGCAGCGAGTACATACGATACAACAAAGCCTGACTTTGTATAAACAAGCCATAAACAGCATTGTAGGTCACTTATCACTACACAGTTCTTCATCATGTGGCTTGTCATGTGTTTCTGCTCACAAAACTGCCAAGAACTTCACTTCTCATTATCACCTCAACAGTTAGATAACATTCAGTAAAATCAAAAGGTCTGATACAGAGGACACGTCTTCCTTTAAACCAGCCTGATCTTTCCTAGGACCGCAATGATAAATACACCAAATCAGACATAACATTATGACCACCTCCTTGTTTCTACGCTCGTTGTCCATTTTATCAGCTCCACTTACTGTATAGGTGCACTTTGTAGTTCTACAGTTACAGACTGTAGTCCATCTGTTTCTCTGATACTTTGTTAGCCCCCTTTTACCCTGTTCTTCAGTGGTCAGGACCCCCATGGACCCTCACAGAGCAGGTGCTATTTGGGTGGTGGATCATTCTCAGCACTGCAGTAACACTGACGTGATGGTGGTGTGTTAGTGTGTGTTGTGTTGGTCTGAGTATATATCAAGGTCAAGATTCGACTCAATTTTGGATATTTTCTGAGTTAAAATGTTTTTTGTTTTGACTCGGCTCAGACAAAAATTTTCACAGCGCCCCACAAGTCTGAACTAGTAGTCCAAATATTTATCTGAATGCACAATTAAGATTCTGATGGTTTCGGATTGTGTGTTACTTCTAGCACTGGAGCTATGAAACTATATCAGCCTCGTAGCTCAGTAACCTTCAGACACCAACCATTTCTTGGCTCAACTACATTTGGGGTTTGGGATGATGCTTTCAGACATCATAACCAAATGAAGTGAATCCTCAAGATCAAAACAGAACTACTGTGACCTAAAACATGCTGGTGAACTAGGAGAAGGAAATATCTTAAAGTACCTCTCACTAGACGTCTGAGCGGGACTGGTTTTTTTAGTCCCGCTCCCGCAAGACTTCAGCAAATTGGAATCATTTATCCTGCCCCCGCCTGGGTTCCGTCAAAGTGAACTGACATCCGATATCTGACACAGTCTATTCACAAATACGTTATTCTCTGCTGAAATAACACAGCAGTCGTGGTCATCAGGCTCACTGTGAGCAACTTCACCAAACACTGTTTATTCAGCATTTAAACACAGGGCAGTAATTAAACCACAGAGCGGTTATTTTTGGTGTTTTGCTGGGCAGCTGTGGCCATTGCATGGAAGGCTCTGCCGTCTCCGTGAACTATGAGAATCTGTGATCAGTTGCTTTACAGTATCTTGTGGCGTGGGACTAATTTTCAGTGTTGCGTGTGGGAGCAGGCATGAAGAGAAATCCCCCAAATTAATGAACAGCCTAAATAAATTTCACTAAATCATATATAAACAATATAAAATAATAACAGTAAAACAACCAAAATGAATGAAGTCATTCTAAAAAGCTGCGAAGCAGTCGATCTCTCCACCTCTCACAGAGCTGCCCGATTTCTGTCAGTTGAATGAGCCCATTTTACTATATTAACTGGTGTAATTGGTGTTTTGACTTGGGCTATTTGGGGTGATTTGGGGAAATTACACACATACTTTATCCTGTATAAAAGGGTCAGTCAAATAAAAGTTTTAGGCCACATGTAATTGTGGCTACTGTTAATCTGCTGTTCAAACAACTGAATGCGTCTGCGCCGAGTGGTGCAGGAGAGTGAAGGAAGCAGAGTCTGTAATCACTATTTATTTTCATTTTCACTAAAATGATCTGTTAAGTGTTTCATTACGGTACTTTGTTGTAGCCCCATTTCATTTTTTTTGACCATTTTCTGCCAAAATGTTCTGCTGGATGAAATTTCGGTGCATCTCTACTTAAGGTCACATGAGAACCTCCACAAGTTCAAGAAAATCCATAAATCCAAACGTACAGAGTTTGTTGCCCTCCGTGTCGTAGCCGTGGAGGTAGACCGCTCCCGTCTCGAACATCCACCTCGGAATACTGCTCTCCGTGAGGTCTGCAAAAACGACAACAGCGTCCAGTTAAAGACACAGCCAACATCAAAGCACACGCTCGCTCCGTAACGTAGGCCCTCATTAAAAAACACAGGCTAATTATGTTTCTCCCAGCACAGTTAATAGACGCGTTTGCCAAGTCTCCATTTAATTCAATTTATAATATAGCTGCTTCCTGACGTGCGCGTCTTTTAATGAGTTCTCTTTGGCTGAAGCCGTTTAAAATGGCCTAGATAAATCTGCGGCGCGTTCAGAAGGAAATGAATTAAACGCAGACAATGGGCATGATTGTCTCCTCCTCACTGCCTATAGAGAAACTCACAGCTCGCAAACAATACCCGCCTTCAGTGGGCCGAAAGTGAAAAAAGTCTCCTTGTGCAAAGCTTTGGACGAATCCTGCTGACCAGTTTTATGGCAACAAGTTATATTATACATAATGCATAACACTGCTGTCACGAAAAAACGTCACAACTTTGTTTATTCTTTTAAACAAAAGCACTACATGAAACCTCCAGCTGTTATTTCCTGGTAACCAATTCACGACCATCATCAATTTACACTTCTGGAGCTAAAAAATTTGCTTACAACAGATTAAACAAGGCAAGTTCCAGCAAAACTGTGCAGTTAAGATGTAAACAGAGTCGTTCAGAGTGGTTTGGTGTGAAACGCTCCGTTCTAGAGAAACTTACAGTCACAACTGCTCACAATGGTGGTGATAGGAACCAGACGTCCACCTCTAAAAGCTCCCTCACAGAAAGTTACTACATGAAATGGTTATGAATTCACTGCCTGATGACTGAGACACTGTTTTATGACAGTTTTTAAAAGACTTTGGCCTTAAATGCATGGTGTTGCATGGTGTTGTCCCCCAAGAGAACTCAGATTTTCCACTATTTTCCATCATCAACATTCCACATAAACTCAGAAGACTCGTGTAGGTTCACTGGTGGTTCTGGATAGTAAATAAAATGTCTATATTTGTGTTGTAGTCATGGCGACCCCTGGTTCCTATCACCACTCTTAATATCAGTAGGTAAGTTTCTCCAGAACAAAGCATTTGCTTTCAAAACACTCTGAGTAACTTTGCTTACATCTCAACAACCGAATTATGCAGAAATGTTGAAAATCAGGAATTTAATCATGAAAAAGCCCATCAGCCCAACGTACCATTCAGGCTAAACTCCTTCCGCCACTGTAAACTCTCGTCGATCATCTTCAGGGTGTCGTCCACGACAAAATGCCTCCAGGCGAGGTAGCCATCGACCAGCGCGTCGTCCTTCATGAGTCGCTCCAGGTCTCTGGAGTCATACTTGTCGGTTGAATCTGAAAAATTGCATTATTATTGATAAAGTTAGGGCTGCACAGTGTATTATTTGTAAAGTATAGTGTAGAACAGAATACGTATAGTACAACCAGATGTCCTAGAACACGGAACAGCTGCATGGATCACACTGGGTTTTACTGAAGGTCTTTCTTTCCTCTTTATAGTTCACACTGCGTTTTTGCTCACACTGCTCAGGCCGTAAGTGTCAGTAAGTTATGCTACCTAGACATCATTGAGGCCTCGTTTTCACCGCAGGGCCGAACGGTTCTGAGCACGGAGAGAAACTGTTCTAGTGGCATTTGCACATGGATCGACACGGAACGCTTACAAACCAGACTCAGTGTGTTTTGACAACACTGTGCTCAGGGCCACAGAACCGTTTGGTGGGATGATGCATTTACGTCACTACCCTGATAGCAAGAAGATAGTGGACCACTCCTGACCCACTGATGGCAAAACTGGCGGTCCACTGGCGTTTTGCGGGCAGCCCACCGGTGGTTAAGCAAAGTAAAAGACAAAACTCCACTCATCATCGTTCATTTTCCACCTACAGTCCAATTTACTGATTTTTTTTTCAGACCTAGTCATTACTTTTTCCTCTCAGTTCTTTGTAATATTTGTCCAAGTTTATTTCCCAAAATAAAAGTCTCTGTGCATTTAAAATCTGCTTGAGGAGATTAAAAACTAGTTAGAGCTTGTTTGCAGGACAGTAATCTGGGTGGTCCGAGGGTGGACCAGCAGTGGCAAACAGTCAGCAGGGTGCCGACCTCATCAAGCTAGTGGACCGATATATGCCGGGTATTGTACCAGCACATCTTGCTGGAACCGTAAAACAAATTAATTGAACAAATAAAAAGTTCAGTTCGCCAAATTAAAGGAAGGGCTTTTCAGCCCACGTCTCGATAAAACACAAACCATCAGTTACTGTTAAGCTGCTAACTAGAAGAGAGGAGCTGCTTAGCATTAGCTTAGCTAGCACACTACCAGCTCTCCTCACTACCAAACAGGTTTAACTGTGACCAACAGAACATCGGACGATAAAAATTCATGTAAAAAACAGAACGACTGGTGACAGAAAGCTGAACTCCAACCCGTTCTGTAGTGTTTGAGCTGTAGCTTGCTTGGCTAAGCTAACGCTATCATAACATTAGTTAGCAGGCTGAAGGGTCCAGTCCAGCTAACTGATGCTCAAATGACACCTGTTTACAAGATAAAGACTCCGAGTAACTGGCGTTGGAGCGAAGAACGCATTCTTCTGCCCGTTCGTTGTCGATGAGCCACTTTTGTGTGTAGTTTTCTTCAAAAAAACCTGCATAAAGCTAATTTCTGCTAGCAGCTATATAGTGTTTTCCATTGTACATTAGCATCAAGCTAACAGCTTTTTCCCCTCCAACACTGGGCTTAACACGCTCAGCCGTGTTTCATGTTTACAGTAACTTACAATAAATATCTGAACTTAAAGCTGAACTCTGAATATTACTGGATTCGCCTTTTAGCCCCTTAAACAGTCTGCTGAGCTCCTTGTTTAACAAAACCGCATATACACTCAGACACAACACATACACACATTTATGGCCTGTAAATACCTAATTGTGTGTGTGTGTGTGTGTGTGTGTGTACATATATATATATATATATATATATACACACACACACACACACACACACACACACACACACACACACACATATGTATATATAAATATAAATAAATAAATAAATAAATACGTATATCACTCGTATATCACATCTCCAAAATGGTCACTTTACAGGAGAAGGAAAAAACATACTCTACTTTTAATGTAAGCCTATGGAACCAGACTGCCGCCAGACTTTGGGTCATTTCTTTTAGTCTATTCATCATGAAATTTACATACAATGTAAAGGACAACAGGTATTTTCAAATTATGTCAAAAACTGAAAAACGTCATCCGACAACAGCGAGATATATATGCATATGAATGAGGCTATGTGAATCAAAACATGTAATGAAACTAAAAACGTAATGTTTTAAAGCATCACTTTATTCCTAAATGTTGAGATTTTCCCACCATAACTCTTAAAATGAACATATATCAATGCTGGAATGTTGCTGCTTATTTAGAACCAGTGTGCACCGTAATGGCCATCAGACAAAGCTAGTAAACAGTAATTATACACAACTATTAACCTTTGATTTGTCAGTTAGAATATGAATGGAGTAAGATCATCACTGCGCACTGCGGGTTAAAAACTCTGTGCTATGAGACACTGTTGGCTAGTCACTCTTTGAAGAGTGCATCCATATTCAAGCGCATTACAGAGAGACTGTAAAACTCCAACAAAGTACAATATCTTACTTTGAAAGTCTGTTTTAATTGTCCAGAGCATGAAAAAAATTAACAGACACACTTGTTAGCTCGATGCTAACAATACACAGGAATTCCCATTCATGTGCTAATGCAATTAGCATTACACCAGCGGTCAAAATTTGGTGAATAAATTAATTAAACACTCCTGAGTTCAGAGAGGTCACGAACGGCTGGCACGTCTATAATTATATGACTATATTTTTCAAAGCCGAACTCAAAGCCGAACTCAAAGCCGAACTCTGAATATTACTGGATCTGCCTTTTAGCCCTTTAACAGTCCGCTGAGCTCCTTGTTTAACAAAACCGCATATACACTCAGACACACATTTATGGCCTGTAAATACATTTATGTGCATATGAATGAGAGTATGTGTATCAAAATATGTAATAAAACTGAATAAGTTCTGTTGTAAAGCATCACTTTATTCCTAAATTCAGATTGTTTCGAGATTTACCTGCCATAACTTAAAATTAACATATATTAATGCTGGACCGTTGCTGCTCTTCAGAACCAGTGTGCATTGTGATGGCCATCAGACGTAAACAGTATTTATAAACAATTATTAACATTCAATTTACTGTTATTTAGAATAAGAATGGGGCTCATCAGAGCACTGGGTCTGAAAGGGTTCAATACTCAGGCGCTATGAGACACTGTTGGCTTATTTCTCTATTAATAGTGTAACCATATTCAACCGCATTATAAAGAGACTGTAAAACTCCAATTTAGTGAAATATCTTAGGTTGAAGGTCTAATTTAACTTTCCGGAGCATTAAGAAATGAACACACACTCGTTAGCTTGATGCTAACATTATATGGGAATTCCCATTCATGGGCTAATGCAATTAGCATGATATCAGCAGTCAAAATTTGGTGAATAAATGAAACACTACAGTGCTCAGAGTGGTCACGCACATCTATAATTTTATGACTATATTTTACAAGCATTAAGTGCTAATTTAACACAAACAAGGCAATCATCCTTAGAGCATCACAAAATGGTTTAAACATCATCCCACGTGCTTTTTTAATTACCCCCAATTTGACCTTGAGCTTGTAGCCTTCAAGCCTTCATTCAACAATGAATAAACAGCATCTATTTATTTGGATTCAACTTGTAAACCAGCTTTGAAAGTTTCCTAGACTGACCAAATTGACCATGCAGTTAGACGTCAGCCCACAAACTGCTTTAGGAAACTTCAGCTGCCATTAGGTTAAGTATATAGTAAGGCTTACCATTACCATGCTTACTACTGTCTTGGCAAACAAATCCCACTCTTACGTTAAGCATTAGAGGTCTAGCTGGATCGTATAGGATAATATGCACAAAAATATCCTCTCAGTCCAAGATGTCTGATTTTAGTTGGAGATTTTTTGGGTCTTTGAAAAGAAATATGTAATTCTATGTAAAAAGACATTTCAGTAGAGTCATATTCAGTAAAGGTGCTGGGCTGTTTTCAATGACCTAATTCCAAACAACTTAAAGAGGAATTTGACCGATTTTTAAAAATTTCTGCATAATTAAAATGGCTGACATATAAAGTAAAATGCTCGGTTTTAGTGAAAGTGAGAACTGTTCACAGTGGTGGTGACAGAAACCAGACGTGCTCTTCTAAAAGCTCCCTCACATAAAGTTATTCCATGAAAAGCTCAGACATCGTTTTAAGGTAGCTTTAAGAAGGTTTTGGCCTACAACATTCATAAAAACTCAATGGCAGAAAGCTTGTAAGGCAAAAAAGTCCCCTGGGAAAACTTCTTTTAATTCTCTCATCATCAAAAGTCCATATAAAAACTCGTGTGCAGGTGGTTTTGGAGAGTGAATAAAATGGCTATATTTGTGTTGCAAGCATGGTGACCCCATTCCCATCACCACCACTGTGAAGAAATCCAAGTCATTTAGCTTCTCCACAATGAACCCTTTCACATTAAACCACTCTGAACGGCTTTGTTTACATCTCAGCCACCGACTTATGCAGAAATTATGAAAATTCTTTTTTAAAATCATGCCTCGCTTGAGACTAACATGGAATTCACAGTGTCAGTATTGACTTTTCACCCTTTTCCACTGAACAGCTAGTGGTGCAACGTCATCTTGCATCACTACAGTGCTGGGTAATGACACATTAACCTAATCAATGCATTACTGAACAGAGGATGTCAATAGTGTATGACTATGAACATTATGAACGTTTTATATCCTGTATTCACCCCCAGCACTCATTATAAGAGCAGCCCAATGGCATTAAGCTTACATGTAGTTATTATTGTATAATTAAAGCTAAAAAATCTGCTGTTAGGCAAAACAATATTGTATAATCTTACCACATCTAACTAACTCTGTCTTCAAACTACTGAGAAAAACAGAAACTTCACTTACATGAACTAAAGCTAATGCAGAGAAATGCAGAGAATGCCAGGCTTGCTACTGTATCAAGCATTGTCTATTGCATTCAGTGAAGCAATTCAGATCACTAATAAGCCAATATTAGAGTTAATATTGGTTTTAATACTCATGTGTTGGTCTGGCTGATGTTAATCTATAGGGAAAGTTAGCTGACAGCTCACCTTGAACGTATTCCTCCTTAAATCTCTGGCGCGTTTCTCGGATCTTGCTCTCGACATCCTTTTCGGAGAGAGGGAAAGAGAGTTAGTGCGATGTTTAACGGGTCGGAAATGCAGTCAGGTCGGTATATTTCGATAATTTAGTGTCCGAATACCTGCTCTGATTCAGCCTGTCCGCCGTCCGCCATGTTAGCTGTACACTGACTGGGCAGAGTTTCCTCAACGGGGAGGAAACCGCGGCCTACCGGGCGCCATGTTGGCTCCGAAAGTGTTTACTTTCGTTCACAATTTTGGCAACATAATATGTATTATACTATCTAATATCCAATAATTCCCAATATTATTTTAACCACGGAGGCCCTACGGTAACATGGTGATTACTTTTAATAAGGTGTGGCCACTAATACATTTACCGAAGCCACAAATATATTGAGGCCAAAAAATAACATTGAGGCCACGAGTTAAGCTTCCCATAACGTATAGCCTCATATAGTCTTAATATAGTAATTTCATGGACACAATATATTAATTTGTGGCCTCAGTATAGTATAGGCCTCATGGGCTATGTTAAGACGTGGCCTCAGTGTATAAATGTGTCTACGTCTTATTAAAAATAATCAAAAAGACACCATAGGGGCTCCGTGTTTAACTTAGCTGTTATTCTTTGTTTAGGCAAATAAAGGTAAAACGAAAAAAGCGACCGGTGCCCTGTGAAACTGGAGTCCACTGGACGCCATCTTGGCTCTGGCTACCTGAAACTAGCTGGCTATGACTGAAACTGCTGCGCAATGGGCGACATGTTGGCTCTAAAAGTAGTCAGTTTTAGGTTTTTGTTAACATTTTGACCATATGTGTGTGTGTCTGTTTTCCGTGTGTGTATGTGACTGTTATTCATTCTATGCTGATGTCAGTAAAGGGAAATAAATAGGAAAAAAATAGGACAAAGTATCTAGGTGCAAGTAGTCAGCCTTGCATGAATTCCATGCTGGTCTGGTGCTGGTTTAGCTGGTCACCCAGCATGGACATACCAGCATACCAGCCTCCTAAACACAACATGTGCTGGTTTTGGTGGTGATTATCTTAACAGCTTTCATTGCCGCTGACCAGCATACCATTCAAAACACAACATATGCTAGTTTTGCTGGTCTGTGCTGATTTTAAGGAAATTCCACAAACATTGTACAATTTCTTCATAATTCAAAGTCTGAGATCTAAACAAAATCAGAGTGCTTCGATGTGAAATGGTTCATTATACTCAATTACAACACCCAGCATGTCTATGTTTTGGGACAAACCCTTCTAAAACTATCATAAAACAGTGTCTCAGACATCAGGCAGTGTGTTTATAACCATTTCATGTAAAAAATGTGAGGAAGCTTTTAGAGTCATTAGACTTTTCAGACGTCCGGTTCCTATGACCGCCACTGTGAACAATCAATTCTGACTCTGTATTTCTAAAACGGAGCATTTCAAACCACTCTGAATTACTTTCATCTTAACCATTTAATTATGCAGATTTTTTTTATCGATTTAATTCCCCCTTTAAAAATTCTATATACTGTTTACTCTTTTATTTACAATCTTACTGCTTGTGTGAAAAATATCAAGGTCCCCGAAATGCTATATATGTATATATTCACATGCCCCCAGTGTTAGTTTGATTGTTATTTAGTGGATTCAAAACTTTGTCAGATTAAGGGGGGGAAAATAAAGTACCTGTCTCTGGTTGTTTCCGAAACTGCAGCCCGCTGGGGGCCATCTTGGCTCCGGTTTCCTGATAGTGGCTGGATAAAGTGGAAACAGCAACTTTGTGAGCGCCATCTTGGCTCTAGAGACGCCAAAACAATTCCAATGTTGTGAATTTTGAGTCGGGGAACAAAATTATCCGTTTAATGCGCTGTAATTTATGGAACTACGTTCTTTCTTTTGCGTTTTAATCCGTCAACGCAGCTTTTTAAAATAGAATCAACGACTTTTACAAGAGGAAGGCATCAATGAAGTGGGGAGACGTCGCCATTCCGGCTCAAAACAGTGCTGTAGCTTTAAGGAACGTCGTGACGTGGCGCCTCTCACGTGACTCACACAGTGGCGCGTTTGGCGGGCTTCGTTTGGTCAGTGAAAACAAATGGAGCTCGAGCGCTCAGGCATATGTTGAGGTAATGTGAAAAATATGAAGGTAATGTATAAAATATCCCCACATATGATATTTACACATAGTTTCTCACACATTTCAACGTTAAAGCCGTTTTATGACTAGTTTGCTGTGTTTTTGTGGTTAGCTGTCCAGTGAGTCATAGCCAGTAACACCAATTTAGAGCATTATTAAAGATGAATAAGTGTAAATATATTAATATGTTGTTATTTTTGGAGACTGAGGTGTGCTTTATACTTTATTTGACTCGTTGATTAATCCCATTCACACTTTTCCCACCTTTTTTGCAGCATCTTTAATCAAAGAGTGTTCTTGATGCTATTAGACTTACCACTTTAACTGAGAGACTTTAAGACTTTAAATCAGTGGCCATGGCACCTGAGCAGCAAATCCGAATCACCTCACTCTGTGGAAGCCTCTTCGTCGTCCAGCGTAGACGTACAAGTCCAAAAGGGTCCGAGATCGCATTCTGGAGGATGGCCTTCGGCCAAGACTCTGGTGGCTTCTTCAACAAGGATGGCCGAATCAGCTCCGTGTACAAGAGTGCCTCCAGAGACGTTGACGTAGTTCATTGCACCTCAGCTGTGGACATCAAGACGAGGCAGAAGGTGCCTTGCATTTTATTGAGGCAGCGCAAAAAGGCGAGCCAGGGCTTCAAGTACATGCTTTACTCTTTGGACGGTTCAACCAGCGGCAAGCTCCACGTAGAGCTTGTGCTGCCTTTCGAGATAGACGATCATGTCTTGATATTCTGTGGGCCCACTTTGGTGTGGAGTCACGAGGACAGGGTCTTCTGCACTTCCTCAGAACTTGGTGGGGTGGTAGAGGTCCCCATTCGTTTGAATGTCAGCTTCATTGGAGAGTTGCCTCTTTGTCAAAGAAGAATAGGCGTTCTAGGTTTAGAAAAACAATCAACCGGGGAAGCCACCAGGGGAAACAGACTCCTCCTGTACTTCCTTGAGGATGGCAGAACCTTCAGCGGGACGTGCCTTTTGCCTGAGGCCTACAGCTCGGTCGTCCAATGCATGATGGTGCTCTCGGCCAAAGAGGCGGACGGGTTGCTGAGGTCTACCGTCCTGGCCGCCACTTGCAGGAAACAGCTGGTGCGTTTTGAGAACGGGTTACCCGAAGATGTGTGTGTTCTTCCATACGAGCACCCTCGGAGCATTCGGATAGTCCACATTGGAGATGGTGGCTGCATCATTGCCGTCGTTTTCGACCATGGCAATGTGTGTGCAGTGTGGAAAGACAGTTTTAAGGTAGGTTTTCGCTCTTAACAGTAGAGCCCACACTGTAAGCCCGGATAGGTTGAACGTTCTTTAAAAAACCTGAGGACACTGGTTGCCTTAAAAAAGTTAAGTAATGTGTAATGAAAACTTGAGTTAGAATAACTGTAATTTTTGTGTTAGTTTAACATAAACGCATGTTTGTGCAACTTGGAAATCCTAATTATTTTAAAGCTACGTTCACATTACAAGCCTCGTTGTTCAAATCCGATTTTTTGCTCAAATCCGATCTCTCTGACTCAATGATTCACACTCGTTTAGGTAAGCGACTCAAATCTGTCATTAATGTGACGAACCGGCGTCCTGAAATGACCCTCATGAGCTCATCCTACTCAGTAACATCATGTGAATGATTCACGTTCTTCATCAGCACAAACTCAGATCAGATTTGAAAAGATCAGATTTGTGTCCACACAGCTCTGAAAACATCAGATCTGAGTCACATTAGGGCAAAAAATCGGATTTGTGCCACTTCAGCCTGGTAATGTGAACGTAGCCTAATTTAACGTTTTGAAATTGCCATTTAATCATATGTTTCATTGGGTAATTAAGAAACTTTTTCTAATTAAGTGATACTGACCACTTTGTCAAACACAGTAGGGTAAACCCTTAGTGTAAACGTGGTCATCCACCAACACAGACACCAATTCACCAGCAAAGAGAGCGATAACCTGCACTTTTAGCCAACAACACAAGGTCAGGCAGCTGAATAAAGAATATATGAAAGCATACGCCTGAGGAAAGGCAGCCTGGGTGGAATGAAAACACTGACGGTGAGATAAACAAATGGAAAGAAACACCCAGTACGCAAATAGACGGAGCCAGGAGCCAATGGGAAAGAAGTACGTTTTATCCAACAAGATCATGTTAACAAAACAAACGTAACTGTATTTTACAGCTCACTTAGTTTCACTAAGTTTCACACATTTGTCCAGCAACTTTAATGAGAAAGAAACATTAAAACCAACAGAAATGTCATTTTTTGACTGTAGGGTTTTAAGGCTGCCATGGCAACAGACTAAACTAAATAGCAAAGTTAATTCAACTCAAAAATGCCATTTAAGTGTGCAAAATCATCAAAAACATTTCCTTAACTTAAAACTTTGAGCAATATGTGGGATATACTGAGTTTTATGTACAACAGACTTAATTTATTTGAGTAAAAACACAATGCAGGATTACAGTGTGACTGATATTCCATGGTGTAGATTGGTATACTGAAGGAAAATAAGCCATTTAGAGTGAGGAAACAGCATTCCCAAATAAACGAACTAGGGCTGGCCCGAACAGGAATTTACACATTTTGAATACTCGTTTCTGAAAATGACCCACAATTTTAAAGATGTTCCTCACTGCTGTTAAAAATATATCTAGTTGGCAGCAACAGCGTATAAATAGTCAGGCTGAAGCCCAGCTGCTCACTCGTAATCTTAGAGTTCATATTTTGTAGTTGTAGAGTTCATAGTTCAACTTTAATGATGCACAAAAAAGGCTGTAACGAATTAGAATTTCCTTTTTATTTGGCACCATTGTGGTTTCAGTTTTAGTTCTTTTTAGTTAGTTGCTTTTATTTATATTATTGAGTTGTTTTAATGGGCTAGTTGGCTTTTTATCATGGAAAGCAGCAGTGAGGGCAACAAGCAGGTCGAGTTGAGCTCCGTCATTGCGAGTGGAGTGGAGGATTGAGAAGCTCCTGGAGTTATTGGCTCATCTGAGGAGGACCACCTTGGAGGAGGCTTGGCAGATACCCCCAGTCATTCCTGCTTTTTCATCCTCAGTGGGCGAATGGAAGGCGGTGCAGTTTGTTGTACTATGAGCCAACGTGAGCTTGTGAAGTATTCAACTAAACCATTTTCCATATTTTAACAGTCAATTTTAGGTTAAAACTTTTTAATAAATTAACAATCACTGTTGTTTTTAAAGGTCTTTGCTGATGAAACGTATTGAACTTTAAGTTACAACTTTAGCTGCTTGAAAAAAAACACAGCTTCGAATGCTAAATATAGATTTCGTTATTCCATTATATTCATTATTTCATTATTATTATTTAATTATTTTGATTATCACTTCCACACATTCAATGTGCTCTTCAGCCTTCAGTGCCTTTAGTAGTAGGGTTGCAGCATATATTTTCACTTATAATCGAGAATTATTTGATTAATGTTCTGCCTTCTTCAATTTCTTCTCTTTTTACTGCACGCCATCATTCACAGTTCTGTGTTGCACCAGTATCGCCACCTACACTTCCTGTGGTGTATTACAGTCTGTCAGAATGACTGTGTGGATCATATGAACATTATAGAGCACTTTTATTTTTTCTCCCCTTAAACTGCACGTCTATTATTCAGTTATTAATCAAACATAAGTACTGCTTAATAATTACTTTGGAATTTTATGAGCTATGTAGCTATGAGAAGAATTGATATGTGGACCCTTTAAAATCTTTGAACTTCAGGCTTATTAAAATTGAGACATTCAGTGCAATTAAGATTTATTCAGTAACTACCTTTGGAGCTTAGAGGGTTAAGTACATAATAACAAAAGACAATAAAAATGTTGTCACCAATTTTTCAGAAATTGTCATCAGCTACTAAACAACTTTGACTGATTGTTGCAGCCCAGTTTAGTAGATCTAGGCCTGATTTTTGGATCTTGCATCATGATTTTCCCCCAAACTTCAAATATAGCAATGAAATAGTGTTTCTTTTTGGCAGCAACCACAGAAACCACTGCTTCAAGGCAAGACACAGTAGAAAATTTGGGCACTGAGGTGCTTCCTTCTTTAGCCAGCTCACGTCCACTGAGTTTCCCCAACTGCTCACGTATTACATCATGCTGTTCAGCGTCGGCGGCGCTCATGCTGGTTGTTTACAGCGAACAGCTCATTTTTTAGTACTCAGGGATCCTTTTTTAAGCTTTTCCTCTTTCAAGCCAACCAAGAAAAGATTCCAGGACAGAGACGTGAAAGCTTTCTTGAGAGGAGAGTGGTTTGAAAGTGGCGGACGGCGTCTGAATTTTATTCTGGTCACACTCTCGGATTCCGGGTTTACGTGTTGACCGTGCCGTCCCCTGAGGCCATGTTCTGTGGGGCATCGGACGTCCGAGCGTCTGAGTGCTAATGCATGTCTTCTGACAGTCCCCTGCTGGCTGTAGATTGGAGAAAACGGCACAAGCCTACATCCCTCTGTTCTCTGATGATAATCCATTGAAAAAATACCTCTAATGTAGCCGATCAATCAAGACTGATCTGTGGGAGGACTGGCATGTTCAAGAAAGAATCAACAGGAGAGCCACATTTACAGCAAATCACCAAAAGTCTATTATCCATTTAGGAAATCTCTCAAAAGTCTGAAAACTCTTGGTCAAATTAGACGTTTTGTTGGTTTTCTAAGGGAAAATAAGTTAGAACACACCAAAATATTACATTTTTCTGCCAATTTTAGCACATGATTGCTGTTTATTTGCGTTTGTATTTGAGTTTAAAATATTTAAACAGTCAGTGTAAATGTGCCATAACTTTTGCACAGGCCACATTTTATTTTTTTCCCAATATGATCAAATTCAACAAGTAAACAGCCTTCAAATGTGCAGAAGTGTGTTCTCTGTGTAGGACGTGTAAGCTTATTTTCACTTAAAAAAAAAAATCAAAACGTCATTTGACTGGGGAGGCCAAACTTTTGCACAGGCCACGTTTGTTTTTTTAGAACTTATGCTAATTTATCTTCCTGCAGCATGCAGCACCTCCCTAAAATGCAGCCAATACAAAGTGATGCATGAAAACCTTCCTGTGTTACTTGATGTAGCCCCTTATTTTTCTTTGCCACTTGCTTTTATAGAATCTTGTGCACAGTAGTGAGGTTGGTGGGGCGTTGCCTCACTGGATTGACCCCGTGATGCTGCATGTTTTGGTGTCTGAAGTTTGCTTTGTTAGTTTTAGCACTGGAGCCTGTAGAGTTAGAGTTGTTATCAATAGACTTGATTATGTGGTTTCTGACTCTGTATGAGGCAATGAGTGAGTTTACATGCACTTAATAATCCAATAACTACAGAAAATCAGATTTTGTCAGTAATCTGATAAACACATTTACATGCTCCCGAGTAATCAGATAATGGGGAAAATAGGTCTATATGAGTCAGGCAGTGATCGGATTTCTGCTTTACAACCAGCCAATAAACTCACAGAAGAAGACGTGATGTAAACGTAACATACAACTCAAACTTCATGCCGCAGCTTTTTTTAAAACATTGTGCCACTTTACCTGTAACTATAAACATACGTCATTTAGAAGGCGAGGAATATTTAAATCCTTCACTTCATCAAGCATGTAGTTGTAAAAAGTATAAAGTATTTCGCTGCATCACTTATTTCCGGTACTATCGTCTGTTTTCACACATGCTCAGACTGATCTGAAAGAAATCTGAGTAAGAGTTCACATGCACTGAGAAATCTGATTACTGAGTTAAAATACAGCCTCTTTATCAGATTTCTTAATCAGATTTCTAGACCGTACTCCGTTCTAATAAATCAGTGTGCTGTTTACATGTCCTTTTAAATAATCAGATAACTGCAGAAATCCGATTATGATTGGATTATTGAGTGCATGTAAATGCACTCACTGTTATCTGTAAATATGAACTAAGGTATATTAGCATAACTAAAAGACAGTAGCAGCCACCAGGAAGCCTGAATTTTGTTTATAGCTAAAAGAATATCATCCAGTGTTAGAAACCACATAATCAAGTCTATTGGAGACGGTTTGAGGCAAGTGTGATTTAAGCCCAGTGCTAATTGGTGGGTTAGAAGCTCCCATGACTTTTCAGCTTCATTAGCTTCATAACTCCAGTGCTAAAACTAAAGAAGTAAACTTAAGACACCAAACCAGTTTGGTGTAGTGCATCACACTGTAAAAAGGTTTTATATGAGCCATGGTCAATAAAAACGATCCACCCAGCATGTATGCTGTACATAAGCCTCCAGCCTGTGTTAATTTAGAGTGATGTTTGTGCCATTTATCCCACCAGATTGCAGCCTGCTGGACGGGGGTCAGTGACCTGCTGGTAGACGACTTTGTGGGCTGCGGATCAGAACAGATGCTGCTGCTGTTTGAAGATGCTGCAAAAGAAGTCCTCGGGAAGTTCCTCCTCACTGACCTCTGCGGTGTCCATTACTCGGTCAGTCAGCCACATTGGTCATGCATTAGTTTTGGTGCATGTGTAGATGCAAGGTAGACCTACATGGTGTACTTATGCTTAATGGTATTGTAGATACAAGGTAGGCGTTTCTGACAAAGTGGCCAGTGACGTGGAAGCACAAGGTGGGTGTTTCTGATAAAGTGGCCAGTGAGTGGAAGCTCAAGGTAGGTGTTTTTAATAAAGTGGCCAGTGAGTGGAAGCACAAGGTAGGGGTTTCTAATCATGTACATACATGCATAACTCCATTTAATTGGCACATTGGTGTAAACCACGTGTTCCCTGTTTGTTTCCTCACAGTGTGGAGGAGCGGAGAGTGAAGACCTAAATCAGAGTGATCCAGCCCAGGAGAGCGTTGTTCTGACGGTTAAAGCCTTAGACTCCAGACTGCAGGTACACTGGGCCCACGTCAGCTCTGTTTGAATACACTCAAATAGACTTCCTCATGTGAGTTCTGACAGTTATACATAACATTATACAACAGTTAGTTCCAGCCAGAGGCTCAAGACATTTGACCGTTTTTACTTCTTACTTTGCCACAAACAGAAAATGGACACTTTTAAGATCACATTTGACCGACAGCCGATTTGGTCAGACTCTGAAGATGAGACGACACTAAATTCCCAAACTGTCATCACCACTGAGCAGCTTTTCAGTCGCCAGCTGTGACAGAAGAACAGCTAAACAACATGAAATCAGCCAGAAATGAACCCAATACCATTCGGCAAACGAGTAGTCTGATCTTCAGAGTCTGACCAAATCAGACTGAGCCATAAAACTGCCGCAATATCAAGTTCAGCTCAGTTTTGTCAGTTTTTGCCAGATCAGTATTAATGTTGTTTTGTTCCAGCCAGTCTGTAAAGCATCTTACAGCCCATTTAGTTTGGCGAATGGTGTTGGGTTCATTTCTGGCTGATTCCAGGTTGTTCAGCTGTTCTTCTGTCTCAGCTGCCGACTGAAAAGCTGCTCAGTGGTGATGACAGTTTGGGAATTTAGTGTAAGGAGCTGGAGAACGAACTGCCGGCTGTGCAGCGAGTGGGCGGAGCTCATTACTCTGACGTAGCAACAAGCTGCTCGTTAAGGAACTATAATTTGGTGAAGGAACTGCGAACATTAAAACATATTAAACGCCGCGTTCACGGCCCAGTTTATTAATTTATTACTGTATTTATTTAACTGTTGTATTAAAGCAATAGAACACTCGAGGAGTGTGTTATCGCGAAATAACATCTCGGCTGTGATGATCTACGGTGAACAAATCACAGCCGTGATGTTATTTCGCGATAACACACTCCCTCTCCGGTTCTGTCGCTTAATTAACAACTCCATGTAAGCTTCCAAAACTTGCCCTTTAATCTGCTTTTCTCAATCAGTCACGTCCAATCAATCCCAAGTGGTAACTTTACAGGGGAAGGAAAGAACTTCCATTCGATTATTTAATGCTTTCGGCTCCTAATGTGTTCTGCCCCAATTAGTCACTAACATCACAAACGACACCTACCAAACGCAGGTAAACAAATCACGTATTTATATTGGTTTTAACCCTTTAACAGGCTGCTTAATTGCACGGTTACATACATTTCACGTTGTAATCTGAAGCACAGGGTGATTACAAATCCATCTCCAACTGTACTGATTGCAAAGAGCATGTTAATCAACATATATCCACAAGGGGCATCTGTATTGTTTGAAACATGACAAACAAGACAAAGTAAATAAACAGAGGTCGTCATTACTTTACCCACCGATTCCCCAGACATCAGGTACTTTAGGCAAAATCTCAAATGTCAACAACATCTTCTGTATTATGATGATGAGAGTATAACATCACCATCGTGCTCTTATAAATATCTGTAAGCCTTGTTAAACCTGTGTAACCATGGAGAAGCACATTACAGGTAGTTAGCCTACAGCTGTGCTTTCTGCAGCTCATTGGCCGTTAGCAACAAGTTCCCTCCACTGTTTGTTTATGTTTGCTTGTGTTCTTTGGCTCCTCTTATCTCTCTAGTTGTGTGCACGACGTTAAAAAGTGTAAATGTTTAATTGCGTTTTTTATATGTAAGCACATTATGTTTCTAATAAAGTGGCCAGTGAGTGGAAGCGTGAGGTAGGTGTTTCTAATATAGTGGCCAGTGAGTGGAAGCACAAGGTAGGTGTTTCTAATAAAGCGGCCAGTTAGTGGAAGCACAAGGTAGGTGTTTCTAATAAAGTGGCCAGTAAGTGGAAGCACAAGGTAGGTGTTTCTAATGAAGTGGCCAGTGAGTGGAAGCACAAGGTAGGTGTTTCTAATAAAGTGGCCAGTAAGTGGAAGCACAAGGTAGGTGTTTCTAATGAAGTGGCCAGTGAGTGGAAGCACAAGGTAGGTGTTTCTAATAAAGTGGCCAGTGAGTGGAAGCACAAGGTAGGTGTTTCTAATAAAGTGAACAGAATGGAAGATTCAAATGAGATGCTGATGAATAAGAATCTGGCCATGTTTACTAAAAGATTATAAAGATGAACTAAAGACGTTAATAGGATTGTTATGTTGATGTGATGGTGATGTATATGGTTGTGTAGTTCTGCCTGGGGTGACTTTTTCAGGGATGTCTCCCTGTTTTTGACCTTTCAGAGCGGCCTGGCCTTCCTGCAGGAGCTCCAGAGAGATTTGAGTGTTAAAGAGAGAGTTTTGCAGCAGTCCGTGACGGCCCTGGCTGATCTGGTGTCGGACAGAGAGCACGTCCCACCGCTTCCACAGCAGGTTCAAAGCTGTCAGCTCAAATACACATGCTACACATACCACACAATAAGAGGCAGGGATTGTTTTATCCATATATGTACCTGAAATTGTCATGTCAGATATCATCAGTGTGCTAAGGCCTAGATAGTGTGTGGTAACATCTTAAAGGGCCCATGTTCTCATTTTTCTCGTATTTTATTTCCACTTATTTTAGATCCACTTATGACCTCTGTGTGGTTTTAGGTAGCAAAAACATTCATAATTCATTTTTATGTGACTACTTTCCATTATGTGTTTATCCCATTCACACATTTTCAAAATGAAGGTTCTTTAAGGGTTCTTTAGTAAAGAAAATGGTCCTATATAGAACCATGAACACTCAAAGAATCCTTTGCATGATTAAAGAGTTCTTTGCTTCATGAAATGGTTCTTCAGATTGATGGAGAATGTGCTGTAGATGCTTCTATATGGCCCAAAAAGGGTTTATCTGTTGGTACAAGCTTGACATTGTAACAATAGCAGAACCCTTTTTGGTGTTATATAGAACGCTTTTCAAAATGGTTCTATATAGAATACAGAATACAGTGCATTCTCCATCAATCTGAAGAACGATTTAATCATGCAAAGGGTTCTTTGCGTGTTCATGGTTCTATATAGAACCATTCTCTTTACTAAAGAACCCTCGAAGAATCAGAGTGTTCAACAGGTTGTGACTGAGCCCTGGTGGCCTTTAACTGTGTTTCAGGAGGGGCTGGTGTGTCTGTGGGATGAGGAGAGTGAGGAAGAGGAGGAGGAGTATGTTTGGAATGAGAAGATGCAGATGGAGACTGAGGAACGTCCTCCTGAAGTGAGGAGATTCTGGCACCGAGTCGTCGGGGAGAGCCTGGTCCTTGGAGTTCTCTTCACACCAAACACTGATGCGTACGTAATCTTCTCAGTCACAGATCGTCAATTCAACAAATAAACAAAAATACTGAGTGTTTCCTCTTATCCCAAATGTAGACATACACCGGTCAGGCATAACATTATGACCACCTCCTTGTTTCTACGCTCATTGTCCATTTTATCAGCTCCACTTTCTATATAGGTGCACTTTGTAGTTCTACAGTTACAGACTGTAGTCCATCTGTTTCTCTGATACTTTGTTAGCCCCCTTTTACCCTGTTCTTCAGTGGTCAGGACCCCCATGGACCCTCACAGAGCAGGTACTATTTGGGTGGTGGATCATTCTCAGCACTGCAGTAACACTGACGTGGTGGTGGTGTGTTAGTGTGTGTTGCGCTGGTCTGAGTGGATCAGACACAGCAGTGCTGCTGGAGTTTTTAAACACCTCAGTGTCACTGCTGGACTGAGAATAGTCCACCAACCAAAAATATCCAGCCAACAGCGTCCTGTGGGCAGCGTCCTGTGACCACTGATGAAGGACTAGAGGATGACCAACACAAACTGTGCAGCAGCAGATGAGCTATCGTCTCTGACTTTACATCTACAAGGTGGACTGACAAGGTAGGAGTGTCTAATAGAGTGGACAGTGAGTGGACACAGTGTTTAAAAACTCCAGCAGCACTGCTGTGTCTGATCCACTCATACCAGCACAACACACACTAACACACCACCACCACGTCAGTGTTACTAATTCTCTTTTTTGGGTGTGAATTGATTCTGTTGTGTTGGTTCAGCTCCTAGACTGCTTTGCGATTGCTGCTCTTTGCAAAATTAGTACATATAATAATCTGTAGTATAGTTAAAGTATACAGAGAACAACAAAAAATTGCATGGAAATCCCTTTTAAAATATCCTTTTCTTTATTTGTTTTTTGAAAATTGTATTTTTAAAGGAACACATTTCAAATCCTACTTATGATGTAAGGAAAGAAAAGTATTTTAAAGCACTGACTTTTAATATTGCAACTAATGACCTTGCGGGACAAAGAACCAAAACAAAAACACAAGCGCAAGGCAGAAAGCACATGGCTACAAAACAGAGCAAGAAGCAGACACAGGAACAAAGGGGAAACGTGACAGGTGACACCCGACATGCTCAATCGAGTATCGCCCTGATGTTGTCTGTACAGCTGGAGGAGGTTCATATCGAGCACTTGTAAAGTTACATAATAGACTTTATGCTCATTTAAACCATTTAGTTTACTGCATTGTTCTGTAATGATTTACAAGTGAAATAAATCATTTTGAAACTGGATGAATCGTTTTGAATCACGCTGTGTTACCGTTTCCAGTGGCTGTACTGTTGTGGCCCTAAAACCTAAAAGCTGGTGTAACTGCTCCTCTGAATACTGACCGGGGCTTCATATCAAGCTCTGATTGCAGTTCTCCCAATGATGGCCTGAAAATCGATTCCACATATCATAGCACTGCTTCGGCCTGCGTTATTGGCTTCACTCGGCGTGATGCTCGCGCTGTCTCGTTGGCTCTGAGATGAAAGATTTTAACCCAAAGAAAGAACTAACTGTGTCCAGTGTAACATCCTTGTTCAGCTTAGCGCCGGGGTGGGCGACATGACGTCATATTATAATACTGTGATAGATTACATCCCGATACTCTTCTCTGAGGATGTGATGGGCATGGACAGTACGTCTGTAACACGGCACCACTGCATTGATCATTAAAAAAGGACAGATTTAGATCAATTAACGTAGTAACTGATTAGCTGATTGGATATTAGCCCATTATGTCAGTCTTTAATTTATTTTAAGGAGGATTTTTCTTTCTGTAACGTATTTGCTTGATTAAAAATAAAAATAATTTGTTGCATTGTCTTGTGAGAAAAAATAAACACCATTGGTACACTGCCAACAGCATCTAGCAGCCATGTAATCGTTGCTATGGTAATGGCGTCCAGCATAAATGGATGAGGATCAAAGGAGAGCTTTGGCATTATGTATATATTTAAATTATTTATTTTTAGCTCACTTAAATTGTGAGATAAGTCTCAGTTATGGAGTTTGTGTTCAGAAGTCTGCCATTCCAGACTGGTTTCCATGGTAACAGACAATGAAATAGTCGCCTTCCCAGCTCTCTCTCTCTCTCTCTCTCTCTCTCTCTCTCTCTCTCTCTCTCTTTCTGTAAGTGTATGTAACAACCCTAAGCCCTGTCATGCTTTATTTTAGGCCACATATCTAAAGGAGCTCCAATCTGCCATCCAAAAACAGCGCAGTCTCCAGAAAAGGCTTCACTCTTCTTCCTATTCTGACACCGAAACTACACTCAAGTTTTGTATTTGATGTTCGTTAATGACGCCTTTAGAGGGCGGCGCTGAGAAACGTTTGTTAATTCGATGTTTGTTAATGACGCCTTTAGAGGGCGGCGCTGAGCGGCGTTTGTTTATTTGATGTTTGTTAATGACGCCTTTAGAGGGCGGCGCTGAGCGGCGTTTGTTTATTTGATGTTTGTTAATGACGCCTTTAGAGGGCGGCGCTGAGCGGCGTTTGTTTATTTGATGTTTGTTAATGACGCCTTTAGAGGGCGGCGCTGAGCGGCGTTTGTTTATTTGATGTTTGTTAATGACGCCTTTAGAGGGCGGCGCTGAGCGACGTTTGTTTATTTGATGTTTGTTAATGACGCCTTTAGAGGGCGGCGCTGAGCGACGTTTGTTAATTCGATGTTTGTTAATGACGCCTTCAGAGGGTGGCGCTGGGCGATGTACAGTGATGCTTTAAAAATATAGTACTGATACACAGAAACTGAAGTACCAGTTTTTTTGTTGTTGTTTTTTGTTTTTTAATTAATTATTAACAGTTTTGTTCATCTCTGATGAGGCACCTAGCACTGTACAACTCTCTGTACATAGTTACTAAATGTAATGTTGTAAAAGTACGATTTTTTATGTTTAGTCTGATTTCGAATTCTGTTTTCTGAAAAAGACTGTAAAGTGAGATGAACTTTATTAGATAAAATGAAGTTGTTTTTATTTTGTTTTGTGGTTTGTTTTTAGAGGCACAAACAGTAATATCGCAATATATTGCAGCACTCACCTATAGCGTATAGCAAATCTTTGAAAATCACAATAGAATCGTATCATGGCCCAAATATCGTGCTATCATGTCATGAGGCCTCTAGTGATTCCTAGCCTGAATACGTTGATGTGTTGGTTGATATTTTTTAGAATGATTACTTTTTTAAAAGAGTGTGTTTACATGCACTCAATAATCCGATAACTGCAGAAAATCTGATTTTGTCAGTAATCCAATCAACACATTTACATGCACTTGAGTAATCAGGTAATGTGGAAACTCTGGGTGTACATGACTCAGACAGTAATCGGATTTCTCCTTTGCAAACCAGCCAGTAAACTTACAGAAGAAGACGAGACGTAAACATAACGTAAAACTCAAACATCGCGTCACTTTGCCTGAAAATATTAACCTACATCATCTAGAAGAAGAAGAATATTTAAATCCCTTTATTTCGTGTTTGGTTTCAGCGCCGCTCCAGCAGTGTTTTGCTGCGTCTCACGTCGTTCACCGTCTGATCTCGCGCAGACAGAGAAATCCAAAAGAAATCAGAGTAAGAGTTTACATGCACTGAGAAATCTGATTACTGAGCTAAAATCCAGCCTCTTTATCAGATTTCTTATTGGATTTGAGATCGGGGTATGGTGTTTACATGACCATTTGAATAATCAGATAACTTTAGAAATCCGATTACGATCAGATTATTGAGTGCATGTATGCACCAGCTAGATTGCTGTTGGTGACTTTATTAGTGTGTATGCTAACACCGTCCCATTTCCGGTTATAAATAACAGTGTCTCTCTTGGCTCTTATGTCCTGCTCTGTGTCTCCCAGGTCAGAGGAGAACATGACTGCATCTGTTCTGTTGGAGCCGAGCGGTGGTGTAACGGCCAGTGTAGTCCAGAGCCGGAGTAAAATGCTGCCGTATCCTGAGCTCCTGTCCACTGCAGCCCTGGACCCTCCTGCTGCTAAAAGAAGCAGGACGCCCGTTGGTGGTTCGGAAGCCCACAGACCCCCACAGCTGGCTGTGTTAACGGTTACTGACCTCACACCACTGCTGACCTCCAGCAGGGTCACTTGCTCCATCCTCCTCCATTCTCCAACATCTAAACCAGGACCTGCTGTGCATCAGTGTGGTCGGGTCAGTCTGGATATGAAGGACGTGCTCCAGGGGGCGCTTCAGCCTCACCTGCTGACGGAGTGCAGTGTCAACTCAGGTAATGCGTGCATGTGAAATTACAGTAGAAGTTAAAAGTTTGGACAGGGCTGCAACACTGCAGTGCTAACAAGCCACCGGTAGTCGTAGGCATGACTGTGAAGATCTGCTACAACACTCCAAGTGTCCACTAGAGGACGACCTAGAGCGACTGCTTATATGATATGAGAATTGTAAGGCAGCACCGATTTCCATTATTTTTCATGTACATATCTGCCAATGCTGATGCATAAATGCAGAAACTGAAATACAGGGTTGTTCAAAAAAGATTAATCCGATTTCAAAGCACCATATTTTTACAACCGTGAGGCGCCGAGGAACCAATCACATACCAGTTGTAAGAAGGGGTCATAGATTTTCTGACTGTCAGTGGAAGATGGCTCCCTTCAGTCTGAGAGGAGATGAGACCCCTGAGCAGAAAGCATTCTGCGTTCTCCACTTCAATAAGAGTGAATCCGTCATAACTGTGCAGAATGATTTTCGTGGGCAGTGAAGCTCCAACAGCTCAGAGCGTTCGTCGTTGGTTCCACAACACTGGATGATCTCCGAAATCGCACTGAAAGAGCCGTGAGTGCAGCGACACCCGACATGCTCAATCCAGTATGGGATGAGTTTGACTATGGTGTTGATGTTGTCTGTACAGCTGGAGGAGGTTCATACTGAGACCTTGTACAGTTACATAATAAACTTTATGCTCATTTAAACCATTTACAGTTCACTGCATTGATCTGTAATGATTTACAAGGGAAATAAATCATTTTGAGATCGGATGAATCTTTTTGAATCACACTGTATAACATTTATTACGGTAGATTTACAAATGCAGATATTTTAGCGTAGCAACCCAGCGTCACCTAAGTGTCATGAAATATTGGTCTGTCTGATGCCGATAATTTGTCAATAAGCAGTCATCTACAAATATCTGTATACCGGTACAGTCGTGTGCAAAGGTTTGGACGTGTTGATTTTCTACGTGAAAATAAGTAAATTCATCCTCTATAGAGAACACACTCAATGCAGTTACTGTTTATTTGCTGGCATAACATATTAAAAAACATAAAATGTGGCTTGTGCAAAATTTATGGCACATTTTATAGGTTTTTTTTTTCAATAATTAGCAAATAAATATAAAATATCAGATTTAATTTTGTTCCCTATAGAGCCCATGTGTCAAATGTGCCAGATCAGGCCTATCCAGACTGCAAAAGTATTTTAGTTTTCTATTAATATTAGCCCGTTTAACCACTGTCCCATAGATTGTTGTTGTGAAACCTCAATTCTACACAATTCTATGCACTTCCACACCAGTCATATCACCAAAATGCATTTCAGCTGCAGTTCAACCGACATAAACACCTACATAAGCAGCTCAGCAGCTCAGAAACTGAGCCCAAGTCTTAATGAACACGCAGCAAAGAAAAGATGCCAGGTGTCTAATTCAAGCTAGCAGGCAGGTTTAGAAGACTGAGCACCTGGGGACGGTTAAATTTCGAATATTTCAAGTGTTCATGTAATATTTCAAAGTCTGCAACAGGTGTCTGTATTTTACCGCTGAAGTTTTTGAATATTTTGAATAAACAATAACACAACATTAATTAAAAATGAAGTAAAAACAACTTTTTTTTCTCTGGCCCACAGATCTGATGAGATTTTTTAATATGGCCCTTTTACTGGTTCAGTTTGATCCCCCTGCTATAGATGATAACTTAATTTGTTAACTTTTTTTCACTTAGAAAATCAGCAAAACTGGGGCTGTTCTAACTTTTGCATACAGCTGTGTTAGCCTGCCTCAGAGGTCACCATTGAAAATCAACACTGTAGTTAATTGTGTCTGACCGTTAGTGTCCATGTTCTAGATGAGTCCAGGGAGGACCTCCTGAGCCTGCTGGCAGCATTTGAGTCGTGGCTGTTCCTCATCGAGAGCTCGGAGCACACAGTGGTGGACGTGTCCGGGTGGCTGGTGGACAGACTGGGGGCTAAACCGGTGGGCGTCAGTCCTCAGTACCTGCTGATTAAGTCTACACAGCCGTCCTCCGCCCTGCTCTTCCACTGGCAGCCCTGCGGCCCCTTCCAGGCGCTGCTCCGAGTCCACTGCAGGTGAGAGCAGCCCGGGAACCAGCCTGAGGAGCTTTTTCTTTCTTTTCTTAGTCTGAACTCTTATTATCGAAAAATTTAAATACACTTTTTCATTGTGCTGTAATTACACCGAAACTGATCTCTGTGATTATGGCTGATTATTATGCTGCTATACAGTTTAAATTGAGGCTGCTCTGATACAGAACCGACGATGGAGCCAGTACTGGCACTTAAACGCAGCATTGGCATTGTGATGGGGAGATGTAAACGCGAGTAAATGGAATGTACGCCTTTAGACATTTGGATATTTAGTACTGTTTTTTAGGATCTAGCATTGTTTTTAAGTACTTTGTACATTTTACATGTATTTAAGTAAATAGAATAGTAAATAAAGTAAATAAAATTAGTAATAGTAAATACTAATTTAAATGAGTAATTTAAATTACTATAAAATACTTAAGTAAACAGTAATTTTACATAGCAAATATCATTTCATACATATCATACAAGGTTTTGTTCTGACAACAGCTATATATATAAGTAATTGCCATTCCTTCAAGCTTAGTAGTATGTTGTTGTTACTATTTCTACTGTTATTATATATGTGTGTATATATATATATATATATATATATATATATATATATATATATATATATATACAAACACACACACACAAAATGATAACATTGCAGGAGATGTAAAAAGCTACTTTACTTTTAATGTAAGTCAATAGAACCAGACTTTTCAAAGTCATTTTGGGTCATTCCTTTTGGTCCATTCATTATGAAATACATTCAAATTTAAAAAGTGTGTGTATATATATATATGTGTGTGTGTGTGTGTGTGTGTGTGTGTGTGTAATAATGCAAATAGAAGGACTGATAAACTAGTTAGATTAGACAGAGTTTGTATCTCAGTATCGGCCGATTCTTAATGATCAGGTATTGGCACTGGAAGGGAAAAAGTGGTATCGGTGCATCCCTGATTAAAACAGAATTATGTAAGTAATGACATTGTTTGTAGTGTAATTAGTAAATTACATGTACATTCTTTATGGGCAGGTTTTCTTTATTCAATACTGCACCCACAGCAATGCCTTCATCAAATTCAAATAATAATAAAATGATAAAATCTCCTCTTCTATTTACAGACACCGATGTGTGGACTAAAAGTTTGGAATCTGCACTTTGACCACAGTTTTTCCACTTGTAACTTATTAAAACAAGTCAGATTTGTGTAATGAAGTTACAGAGTGCTGTTGTTGTTGTATCAAGTGGTTCTTTTTGAGTTTAATTAAATAAGTGCTGGTTTTTGTTTGCAGTGGTCAGTTTGCCGTTTTGCGTTTCTTGGACTCCCTCTGTGAGTTTCTTCCGGCCTCTCATGACATCCAGCCCCTCAGGAGCTCTGCCCGTCAGGGGGGCAGCCAGGACCTCGCCTCTTTCCTGGGAAGAGAGATTCGAACGATAAAGGAGGGTGTGGCCTCCCTCCTCTGTGATGGACAGGACGACCAGAGGTTTGGGGGTGGAACTTGGAGGGATTCCGCCTCTCCAGAGCGGCTCCACCGCTGCAGGGAGGAGTGGCAGAGAGAGCAAGAGAGAAGCAGCAGGATGCTGCGCCCCCTGGTGGACGCCTCACAGTACCGCAGGCTGGTGGACAGCTTGATTCAGAAACAGCTGGATGGAGACATCGCCGCCCTAGTGGAGGCACAGAATAGTGAGGTAAGGGACCAAAAGCACGATTGAAAGCCATATTACTTATATATGATATGTAAATTGCATTTTAATGTAATCGGGGGTTTAGGGAAGCCTTTCAAGATGTTTTTAACACAAATGATCGTTTTCTTTGTCAATATTCAGTAACTTACCATATTAACAAAGAGGGGTCAACAAACGCTCCAGGGCATCAAATTAGAAGTTTCTCAGTGTTTCTATTAACAATTTTGCGATAATCCAGCACAGAAATCCAGTTCAAACACTTCCTGAATCTGTAGAGTCGCCCTTTCCATTCCATCGTATCTCGAGATCATACGAGACTCACATCCGGAGTTATGAGCCTATGAAGAGGGGCTGAGATACACGTCATCGGCCTCTCACCGTGTGGAACTGGTGGATTCATGTGTCCGTCTACATTCTGTGTGAAACTGACCAATGGACACTCAGGAAATCACTAAGCACTGACCATCACGCCGGAAACCCTTCATTCTTCATTCAGTCCACATCGGAGACTCATGTGAAATGGCGTGTAAACAGTTCACAGCTGCTGAAGTTGCTGCAACTATTTTATTCATACATTCCACTACTTTATGAACTTTGGTGAACCCATTTCAAGCACAGAAACAATTCGTCCACATGAGTAAAGCTGTGTTTTCATAAGAGAGATTAAGAATTTCTAAAACTGGACTGTTTTTTTGACGCTGCTCACTTATTTCTGGTACCACCATCTGTTTTCGCACATGCTCAGACTGAGAAATCTGAAAGAAATCAGAGTAAGAGTTCACATGCACTGAGAAATCTGATTACTGAGCTAAAATACAGCCTCTTTGTCAGATTTCTTAATCAGATTTCTAGACCTTACTCTGATCTAAGAAATCAGTGTGCTGTTTACATGTCCTTTTAAATAATCAGATAACTGCAGAAATCTGATTATGATCGGATTATTGAGTGCATGTAAATGCACTTCACTGCCACCATGGAAATAAAGCCAAAGGCCACGCCCTGTTCTCCCTGTGTTTTGATGTCAGCACTCATCAATACTCAAACCTTTCAGGTGTTTAAACCACATTTGGACCAAAAGAGTTTCTGTGCTTTTAACAGTAGTTTGGAAAAAAAACCTGCCAAATCATTATTTAGCCTCTTTAACTCCTTGAGACCACCGGTGGTTCCAAAACGCACTTCATCATATTCTTCATAACTTTCATATTTCATAAGCTACATTCTAAAGGTGGGGGTCGTATGAGAGCTGTAACTGTCTTCTATCCAGTCAAATAGATGGGTGATGTCATTTTAAACCCTTATAATAAAAGAAGCTGAACTCACAGTTTTTTTTCTCTACTGAAAGTCGACCCATTTTTCACAAATCTGGGCTATAAACTATAAACAGATGGCGTCTCTTCAGTGAGCTGCTCTGTAAACATTATTTTTATAAAATAATACAAAGAGCACAAAGATTTTTGGCTTTCAGCAGTAAATTGTAAGCATATAGCAATATGTGTGATCATAAAACACGTTCTGTTAATTTGAGGGGAGCTTTACCAAAAAAAATTAAAATTTATTTCATGCAGTTACTGAATGATTTGCCTTATGATTTGGTCATGAAAATTCAGATGGAAAAAACAAAATATACCCTGGAGAATAAGAGGTTAGGCAAAAGCTGCTTCATACAAAGGAAGGTACTTTGATAAATATGAGGATAAATACATACAAAACATTAGAGCTGCTTTACGATAGAGCTGCTTTATGATAAACTGAAACACGATTTATTCTTACTTCACTGAAAAGAAACAGTGCTGAGAAAATTTCAAAAGAAAGCGAGGTGTCTCCAAACTTTTGACTGTCTGGTGTTGCATCATTCAACTTTAAATAACTCATAACGTGTAATTCTGTCTTCGTGAATAATTGGAAATGGATTATTGAAATGCAATTAAAGCATTATTATTAAATTGTCCTAATCTGTCCGTAGGGCTGAATCTGGTGAGAGACGACGCCCCGTCCTCCGGTCGCCACGGAGACGGGCGGTGAAGCCCGGTCCTCGCTGAGCGATTTTTCTGCCTTGGGGTTGTTTTTACGGTGAGGCTGCTGGCAGCGTGGACAGGCTCTCTGCCGTTTCCCCTGAGCTTCACGGCTCTAATACTTCACCGACGTTTTTCTGAGAAAACACTTAAGCTGCCCTCGGGACTCAGGCTGCTGGAGACGACCCCGTCAGCTCTCGTTCTGCTGCGTGTCATCCACCACACGCACACAGAGCACAGATGGTAAAGCGATGGTTTGGCGAAAAATCGCATTCACCCAGTTTTTCTGCCTTTCTTCAAATGCAGTGGATCAGTTTAGTGTCTGAAATTTGCTTCTTTAGTTTTAGCACTGATGCTACAAGGGATGCACCGATCCAGCTTTTGCTCCCGATACCGATTCCGATACCTGAACTGAATACCTGATACACATCCAATTTATTTTTCTTCAATTTAAAATCAGCAAACCTCATAAAATACGCTGTTACAATTAAAGAGTTTATTCCAAAATATGATGTATCTGCTTTATGAAATGTTGGTAATTAAGGATTTTTTAATTTAGGCGCTCTGGACAAGTATTTCATATTCAGCTATATTCTTCTGATTCTTCAAGTCACCTTATTATCTTAAAATCACCCCAAAGTTTAATGTTTTAGCCTAAATTAAATTAAAAAACATGTATAAGTCTGAAATTGTTGGTGAAGCTGGTGTGAAGTACAACAGAATTAGAAGAGTGCTGGAGTTTTTAAACACCTCAGTGTCCCTGCTGAGAGAGCTGTCGTCTCTGACTTTACATCTACAAGGTGGACTGACAAGGTAGGAGTGTCTAATAGAGTGGACAGTGAGTGGACACAGGGTTTAAAATCTCCAGCAGCACTGCTGTGTCTGATCCACTCGCACCAGCACAACACACACTAACACACCGCCACCACGTCAGTGTTACTGTAGTGCTGAGAATGATCCACCACCCAAATAGTACCTGCTCTGTGAGGGTCCATGGGGGTCCTGACCACTGAAGAACAGGGTAAAAGGGGGCTAACAAAGTATCAGAGAAACAGATGGACTACAGTCTGTAACTGTAGAACTACAAAGTGCACCTATATAGTAAGTGGAGCTGATAAAATGGACAATGAGCATAGAAACAAGGAGGTGGTCAGAATGTTATGCCTGATTGGTGTATATTGCTGTTTCAAATCAATACTGTTCTTATGTTATTACGGTAATGTTCCATTTTCACTTTATCAACATCATTAAAGTATAATATTTGAAACAAAAGCTGGTGTTAATAGTATTTAAGCTCTAGCAACAAGCTAATGTTACCCCAAGCGCTTGTTTCTTCTCCTTAAATGAGCGTGTCTGTAATATGATAATCCATAACCATTATCTGTATATAGATCGTTTATTTCCATTAATAACAAAAAGTGAGATTTGATGTGATGCATTTTGGAACAGCACCATCTATTTTAGAGTGACTTTGTCTAAGAAACCGTATCGATAGTAGATGGGTCACATCTGGCCAATACCCAGTCCGTTTAATATGGTCTCTATCGGTGCAGATAACCATCATTACTGTTTTGATACAGCAAAAAAATGAGTGGCTGAAAAAAGTGTCTTACGTTATTATGGTAATGTTTTTCCTTTTTTAGTTTATTACAGCATTTATTACATTATAAAAGTATAATATTTGAAACAAAAGCTGTTCTTTATAGTGTTAAATGCTTTAGCAACAAGCTCATTTAATGCGCTAGCCACAAGCTAACATGCTATTCTATGATATGATACATTAGTTTATCCCTACTAAACATGTCTTGGCTGGTCGACCACGTTTGAAGTAAAGGGGGGGCTGCAGCTGTGGAAATCAGATTTTTTGCCTAACTTCCTTTCAGAGTGGACTAAATGAGTTGCGGTCACTGTGGTTGAAAATGCAGAACACAAATGCGAAATGCAACATTTACCTGATTTACTGCGGACTGTCTTCTGTGTAAAACACACTGAGAATGTGTTCCCCTCTTTTACTGTGGTTTGGAACAGGACTGTAACCCATATATTCTGCTGTCGGAAGAAAACCTTGTATCTCCATCTCTGTCATTTTTTAACAAAATGTGAAAATGCCTGTTGCTCTTTACATTGTGTACCAATTTCATGATGAATGGACCAAAAGAAACGACCTGAAATGACTCAAAAAAATGTCTGGTTCCATTGACTTACATTGAAGTAAAGTATGTTTTTTCCTTCTCCTGTATAGTTACCATTTTGGAGATACGAGCTTTTCTTCCAGCAACAGCGAAATACATGTGTAATTGGTAAACTAATGATTACTAACTTTTCAAAGTAGGGTTAGGCAAGTGGACGATGCCATCGTTCGTCATCAATGGCTGACAGACATCACAATGTTGAGCCATCACCGTGATGCCACAACCCTCCTCCCCCATAGTCCGGTCCACACCGACAGCACGGACGCTTTAGTCAGAGGACCCTGTTTACAGCCTGACTTTACACCAATTATTCATGCTAATAAAATCATTTCATTTAAACTGTTTGTGTTTACACTGAGAGTCAGATACAGACAGAGGGTCATAAAAGATTCCCTTTTCACAGCAACGTCTAATGTAGTTTTTAAACCAGAATTTCAGTAACGCTTCTTGTATTTTCACCATGGTAGCTAACTTAGCATTAGCTATGTTAGTGCCACGCTAGCGGGGTTAGCTCTGCACTGTTTGAGATTTTTATGTCAGCTCTAGTCTAAAGACAGTTTTAAGTTGTAAAAGGCATGTACGCAACTTTCTTTACACTGTCTCTGTTTTTAGGTAACGCTTTATTTAAAGGCTTAAACTTGAAGTCTGTCTTTAATTATTGTAGCGTTAGCTGTTAGCCAACTAGCTTTCCGCTACCTGTCCAGCCTACTAGTGAGGGTGGAATCCAGCTATAGAGAGAATGTAACGTAATAGAGTTAAAGTGAGTGTGTTAGAAGCAAACAGTGAGTGTATTGACATGCACTTAATAATCCGATAACAGCAGAAAATCAGATTTTGTTAGTAATCCAATCAATGCGTTTCCATGCTCTTGAGTAATCAGATAATGGAAACTCTAGGTCTACATGAGTCAGACAGTAATTTCTACCTTGCAAACAGCCAATGAAATCACAGAAGATGACGTGACATTGAACTTAAACTTCATACGCAGCTTTTTTTTTTTTTTAAACATGGCGCCACTTTAGCTGAAAATATGAGCATACGTCATCTAGAAGATGAAGAATATTTAAATCCTTTATTTTGTGTTTGGTTTCAGCGCCGCTCCAAGTGTTTTGCTGCGTCTCGCGACATCCACCGTCTGCTGATCTCGTGCATGCTCAGACTGAGAAATCTGAAAGATAGCAGAGTAAGAGTTTACCTGCACTGAAAAATTATATTACTGAGCTAAAATCCAGCCTCTTTATTGGATTTCTTAATCAGATTTCTAGATCAGAGTGTGGTGTATACATGACCATTTGAATAATCGGATAACTGCAGAAATTTGATTATGATCGGATTATTGAGTGCGTGTAAATGTGATTTTCAACTGGCAGTTTGTCATCTGGTTGCATTTAATAGACACAGATTTCAGCGTTGACAGCTGGACTTTAACATCATCAAGCCACAGTCTCATGTCTGCTGATGCACTGTGTTATTTATGCTGGTCTTGCTGTAATTTCATCTTGGCTGTACTGTCCCAGAATGCACACATAAACACAGTCTGTCAGAATGACTGTGTGGATCATATGAACATTATAGAGCTTTTTAAATGAAACAGTAGAGGCCATATCGCCCCCTACACTTACTGTAGTGTATTACAGTCTGTCAGAGTGACTGTGTGGATCATATGAACATTATAGAGGCTTTTTAAATGTAACAGTAGAAGCCATATCGCCCCCTACACTTCCTGTAGTGTATTACAGTCTGTCAGAGTGACTGTGTGGATCATATGAACATTATAGAGGCTTTTTAAATGAAACAGTAGAAGTCATATCGCCCCCTACACTTCCTGTAGTGTATTACAGTCTGTCAGAGTGACTGTGTGGATCATATGAACATTATAGAGGCTTTTTAAATGAAACAGTAGAAGCCATATCGCCCCCTACACTTCCTGTAGTGTATTACAGTCTGTCAGAGTGACTGTGTGGATCATATGAACATTATAGAGCTTTTTAAATGAAACAGTATTAGTTTGTTAAGGTAAGCCTGGCTGAAAACTCTGAAACGTGAGAGAAATCAAGGCCGGCATTTCTAAATAACTTAGTCCAGCAGCAGCTGTCTGAAACCGAACTGGGCAGAAAGCGGAGCATGACAGCTTGGCCATCAGACAGGCTTCTGGATGGTGGGTGGTAGTGTGCCCCAGAGGGGGGCGCTGTACCGTAGCCAGCTGCTGCTGAGCCTCCATCTGTGGGCCTCACTCGCTGCAGTTCCAGCTGAGCCGTTCTTTCTTTCTCTCAGCACTCCTTCTATCCCTCCGCTTCACTCAGGTGACGAAGCTTTAGCAGTGCTTCCCTCAGGTGCTTCACTTCCTACAGGAAATAGCGCTCCTTTTGGACACACGCTGAGGCAATTAAGAAAGAGCTGCTCTCGCTGCGGAATGGGCCGACATTTCCATTGTAATAGGCTCCAAATATATTCCTGGCCTGTCTCCAGGAACCTATTCAGTGGCAGCGATTTACAAAACCTGAGACTCTGCTGTGGGCCTAGAACAGGAGAGAGCCCAAAACCAATTAACAGTCACCCAGCCTCGTCCATGAAGCTTAAAATGTTGATTTTTGAACATTTATTCTGAAACGTTCTGTGATCATAAGAACAAACTGCATGTGCAAAACCCAGAGACCACCATTTGTTTATTTAATTTCCAGTCAAAACAGCAATAAAGTACATTCATATCTGAGGAGATTAGACTTAAGATGATCCGCTTGCATGAGGAAGAGGAAAAAGCCAAGTTTCCAAAACTGGAGCTCAAAAAATGGTTAAAAGCTACAGAGAAAATGTGCCTCCTAACAACCACCTGGAAGACCTGGTCGACACCAAAACTGCCCCCATCAGATAAACAGCACTTCAAGCTTTCATCTCTGAGAGAGAGGAGAAAATCAAGCTGATCAGATCTGAAAACATCCACAGGTGTTTCTGTCCATCCTTCCACTGTGAGAAGACGACTCAGCGCTGTGGGTCTGAAAGGATGTGTAGCTGATCAAGAAGAACCTCACTGAGAAAAGGAGACGGACACATCAAACACAGAAGCTGAACGATGGACTGACCACCCCAGAGTCCAGACCTCAACACCACTGAATGTGTTTGATTACTTCAGAAAATGATCAACCAGCTTCTAAGACTGAACTTTGGAGGTGTGTCTGCAGATTCTCTGAGGAACTCAAAGTGAGTCTCCTGAAAAGAAGCTGGAATAAAGGTGAAGAGCGACTCACTGAACACTGACAAACAAATGAATATAACATTTAGTTGTTGTAGTTTTCTGTTAAATATATGTTGCTCCTTTTTCCTGATGCTGAAAAAATATCTATATTTTGGCCATTTTGATTGGAAATTGATGAAATAAAGAGGGGTCTCTGACTTTTGAACAGTACTGAACACTGTTCTGATTGATAATCGAGCTTGAGGATCTCTTTACTTGTGATCTTCGAGTGTTGCCATTGGTAATCTTCACATCCTGCCCTGTCTTCCTGTCTTCCTCAGGATTATATTTGACCGGCCTTCATTTGAGCCTGTGTTCCTGTATGTTTTCGATAAATCTCTTAACGTTTCTGAAGTACAGATCTGAGTAATTCAGGGTTTGTTATATAATGCTTTG